CACCCCTCTTACACATCTCTTTTAGGCTTCAGTCTTTGAATTGTGGTCGACGAATGCAGTGTTCTGGCTGCTAAGATGCTGCTCGACTAAGGGGAACAACTTGTTAGCCACAAGTAGCGTGTGTAACCAGCCAAGCTTGTCATGTGTATGCATGGTGGCTTTTTCCATTGTGTATTTGATGTTGGAGGCACCTGAAATGGCTCATAAATGGAATTCCACCTTATTCTAGAAGGTATGCACTGTGCGATTGAGCAGCTCCTCTCACAGCAGTTCCATCCGCGATGGCAGTGCGCGTAGGCTCGAGGACCGCCAAAGTTAATGACGTCTGCGGTACCTTCGCGAAGTGACTGCCAGCTGAAGGACATAGTATTGAGGAAACTGTTTTGTGACGTTCAAGAGTGCGGCTTTGCAGTTGTGCACGAAGGCGCAGGGCGGAGGTGGTAACAAGACTCAAGGAGACGGTGGGACATCGGTGGCAAGTCTGCACTCAACTTTACTCTAAAGAAACGGTTGCAAATGTGCGATCTGAGATTGACATAGTTGTATCTCGCTGGCCTCGGACAGTGCACAACATGTTTGAGCAATATGGTTTTGGATGCGAATCTCTCACCACATAATCTGCACTTGTGATGCATAAGACTAAGGCGTTCAGGTTCTTCGTCATCAGAGCGGGGCAGTACGGATGGTTTTGCGTCAGTGAAGCCAGTGAAAACTCCCTAACTATCCATCAATTCAATATATTCCTCGCCGAATGGAATCGCAATCTGGGTACTCCGCTTGCTCAGCATCTTCTTCGATTGCCTCCAAGTCTCATAACCAAGCTCCCGGCATCCTTCCTCCTCTGTTTTTTTCCCTTACACTAGATTTGTAAGAGGGTTGGACAGATGCGCGGACTTGCACATGTTCAATCACGTCCGGTGTTTTTCTGGTTCAAAAGAAGTCCGCAGATTGAGACATGAATTGACCACGATGAGTTTATAGTCCTGTCGAGCCGTCGGAGGAAAAGGGAGAAAGAATGAATTTTCCTTGATACGCAACATAAATTAGGTACCAACGTCTTGTAGATCTAGAACATCATGTCTAGGGCGTAGAACTTCTTGTTCTGTCGTATGCCCTTCTTGCTGGCAGCCATGTTCGCTTTTAGGATCTAGGTCCTAGTATACACATTCATCGATATCGAAATGGTTTCAGGCATGAGTGCCGGACTGTGAGACGGACAAGCCGTTAAACGCTGAGTAATTTTCTTATGTGGCTCAGCTATCGAACTGCCTCGCGGGTCCCAACGGCAGACGCGATATTGGTGTTATGGATGTCGAGGCCAGACATCTACTACATAAGCCTTCTGGTTGGAGCGTTGGCGTCTGTTTGCTAACTTCAAAGCTCCAACTTATCCTACACATCGCCGCGTTTGGTGGAAATTTAGTTCTCACGCCACATGTGTTTGGATTGAGATACTTCTGACTCAGGAAACGGGGGAGCTGCAAGCGTGAAAGGAAAACATTAATTTGTTGTCAAGGTATTCTGAGCATCCAACCATTAGAAATTGGGTTGCGTGTCTACCCATGGGAATGGTAACTCTCCGGACATTTTCTACACTGTGAATAGATCGTAGTTTACTGCTTTTCCTTTTTCCAGCCATTTTGTATCCTGCATCAGCGTTGCGTATCTCTTGTTTGTTAGATAGTGAACTGCGAAGGGCTGCACAACAATGTTCCAAGTGGGTATATAGATCTGTGCGTCATTCTTCTTCAGGTTTTCCGTGGGCTCCTCTCCAAATAAACAAAAGAGGGAAGACACTAGGAACATGAGTGAGGCCAGAGTGTGGTTTACGTGTTCTAGACTCATTTCTTCGACAAACATGAACGCTTTCTTGACATTCTTGAGATGCACGTCTCGGCCGTCCATAGCTTGAGTTCCGTACGCTTTAACAATTCAGCACCTCACTTCATGCGTATATTTCTTTGAAGGCTTTGAGTCCTTAATCGCTCTGGAGCCAAACAGAAAACATCTTAAGTTGCTGATGTGGTTCTGTCTCAAGAGTGGACATGTCGGATGATCTCGGCTTTTTTACGAACACATCGCCTGGATTCCAGGGTAATGCGAGCGAAACAAGCTCTCCATAAGCAATCCCTAGAGCGATATATATGCCCCGGGTAGCTTAAAACCTGTTTACCATCCTCTTTGCATTTTACAGACCGTACCTATTCCAGGCATAGGCCGACACGAGCTCTCGTTGTCGAGACTGCGCCATAACATGCGCCAATTTGAAACACTTCCACCGCTATAATTTTCGATTCCAGAACCTTTTCTTCTCCGGCTTCTTTTAGTGGTCAGGCGCTGCAAAGACGAGAAGAAACATGAGTTTTGTAGACGGCTGTTTCCAATTTCAGAACACACATGAATTCGAAATAGCGTTTTTAGAGGACAACGCAGCAACATGTGTGCGCGTGTGTGTGAAGAAAGTAAGAACAACCCAAGGTCTTCCTAGAAGAACCCTTAATAAATGGACTCCTGTGACTCGGAATCATGTGCATTTGCAGAAGGAGTTCTGGAGGACCCACGTTTGTCTGCCATGCCTCGTTTTCAAGTCCCAAACTCCAGAACCTGGAATTTTCATAACCTCGTGGCTCACCCTTTTTATTGTCCTGGCGCAATAGTCTAGTCGCGCGAAACGCGACATAGCATCCTGAACGAGTTGATCTTGCCGGCTTGAAGCGGATCCATCATTGCCAACGTCCATAGTTTTTCTCTACCCATTACCCATTCCCCATTCATGTTCGTAAGCTAATGGCAAGACATGGGACGATTCGTATTTCCATGAAATTTGTTTCAGGTTGAGGATTCGCATAGATGCGCTCCCATATACGTTGTTTGCTTCTGCTTCCGTGGCAGTGTGTGTGGAACATGCGAAGAAGTGCAAGTGCAGACGGCGTGGAATGTGTATGCCCTTTCGCTAATCCAAACATAATCTCGTCTCCGTAGCTCTAGAAATTACAGTCCCATGGAGCTCCTTTTTCCTCGACGAAGTGACGGCTGCCTTGAAAGATCGCACCATTCCTCACAGCTGCGGCTACTCCAGACTTTCTCCCGACCGCCGTCGGACTCGACCGGAAAGCGAAAAAGACATAAGAATAAGTTTTTCTTTTTTTTTTTCAGTCATGGATCTTTCCACCTACGTGGCACTCGATAATGTGTTGATGTGGACGACTCCGTTTCCCAACTCCAGGAACATAGGGGTCTTCTTTGATCTTTTCGAGTCCAGAGATCCTCCACATGCGAGCCCCACTTCTTACTTTGAGTGGAAACTCTCCCCCTTTGGCGTTGGCCTGTGAAGAAGAGAGAAGAAGAAGCGAGAGGAGCAGACCGACGAGGCGATTAAATCTGTCCTTCTTTCCCTGTAAACATACGGGAGGTTGTGATCGTTTTTCTAAACACAGACACCTACACATTAGTCCTTGATTTTTAGGCAACCCCGTTTCCTAACTTGGAAAACATTATCTCATTGTCTCGTCGTTTTGAGTCCGCAGAGTTTCCACATCCGTGGTCCGCCTCGTATTTTTGGAGAAAACTTTCCCCTTTTAGCGTTGCCTGTGAAGAAAAGAGACAAGAATCAGGAGGAGTCGCCCAACAAAGCGCTTAAATCTCTCCTTCTTCCCAAGAAACATGGCGCCCATGTTGATCGATTTTCCAACCACATACACATCGGTCCCTGATTTTAGACTACTCCGTCTCACACCGCGAAAAACATTAAGTCGCTTCTAACTTTTGAAGCCCAGAAAACCTCCACATAAGAGCCTGGACTCGTTGTTTTCGAGAGGACTCTTCCCTTTTGTCGTGTAAGGAAGAGAGAAGAGAGGCAGGAGGAGACGACTGAAGAGGTGCTTAAATTTGGTTTTCCCTTTCTCTTATTCTGGGATTATGGGGAATATGAGAGTCGAGGTGGTCGCTTCTCCGGATACATACACATCGGTCCCTGATTTTAAATGACTCCGTTTGACAACTCGAAAGACATTGATGAAGTATTTTCTGACTTTTTGAGCTCAGAAATCCTCCACATGAACGAGTAGCCTGAAAGTTTTAGAGGAAACCTCTTCCCTTGTGCCTGTGAAGAAGGAGGAGCAGACAGACGAGGCCTTTAAATATCTCTTTTCCCTAGGAACATGAGGGTCGTCGTGATGGCTGTTCCGAACACATACACATTCGTTCTGGAGTTTGACTGATGCCGAATGGCTCCACGCACATGCACACCACCATTCGAGCTCCTCGTCGAGAACATCAAGACTCCCCTCTTTTCCACTTCCAAGAATCCCATGTGCTCAACAGGAGCATATTTGCGCCCCCAAACACACAGACAAACGGAGACCAGGCCATCACCAACGTACACCCATTTTCTCAATCGAACGCCGCGCAATGAACATTTGGAAGCGCCAGGCGCCATTTCAATCAAAATTTCACCATCTTTTTTACTCCCGCTTGTATAGAGGAAGAAGGGGAAGGAGAAATAGGCACAAGTGGTAGAAGGGAACACCGCTTTATATCCCTCTTCCCCCCCCCCCTCCCCATCGCTTCTACGCAAAACATGAACGCCCAATCTAGGCACTTTCGACGCACTGTTACATGAAATCCCATACACTGCAATTTTCTCCACCCACCCACTGCACCTTCCCCAACCCGTCTCTTTCCAGAATATACCGCAGCTTTCCACGTCTAACTAAACATCTATTTGCAATTCCTCTATAGGTGGAATTACCTACCTAGCACAAGCTAACTAGCTACAACCTAATAATACAACAGGTGAAATTTTCCTTTTAAACATACTACTATATGTAGAGGCACGCTACAAAGCTAATTGCAGTACCTCCTATATTGCTGCCCTGCCAGCTGTTTAAATTAGATGTAGAAAGCAGCAGTACAGAGGAAGTGTAGGGGGGTGTTCAGTTGGATGTGAACACTGAACAGAGGCTGTACACAAGCCTACACAACCCCCTTCCCCACCCCCCTCATCCATCCCCCCTCTCCATCTCCCTCATCCCCCGCCTCCACTCCCTCCACCCAACCCCCTTCGGCCTATTGACGGCCAAATGACTCATCGGCGACGGCTTCCGCACCAGCAACGTGCGTCTCCCCCGATCGATACCTCGTTTCACCTGGGCGAGTGCGAGTCGCGATTGGCCGGGTGGATGTTGCGGCAAACGGAAACGCGGGCGAGAAGTAGGAGCAGGTGTAGGAGCAGCAGCGGCGGCGGCACTCGCCAGCATGGAAGCGTCGGGTTCGGGAACGATGTCGAGATAAGGTTGTGAGGAGGGGGCGTCGGTGGTCGTGGTTTGTTGCGGCGCTGGAGAGTAGCCGTCGTTTCGGCGCCGCCGTGTTAGGCGGTTCCTAGATGGTGCTTTCTCCCTCACACCCTGGACATCGGTTTTCTCCTCTTCCCTGAATGAGAGGAATGCGCGGATCTTCTTGACAGAAAGCGCCGTTTCGAATTTCTGCCATTCCTGCACGGCTCGGGGGGCGTAGAAACCGAGGAGAACGAAGGCGGCGACGACAAAGGCCCAGAGCGGGTACCATACGGAGGAGATGCCGAAGTTGGTCATTCCGAAGAGCGTCTGCGATATTCTCTTTGTGTTAGGGGGAGGAGGTTTGGTTTGGGTGGTGAAGGGAGGCTTACGGCGACCCAGGACAGTGGCAGGAAGCCGAATGCGAGTGCGTTGAGGCGGGCTACTGCTTGTCCTTGTGAGACGGTTTCGGTGTTGAAGGCCTGGAAACTGTTAGTTTTCCTTCCTCTTGTGGTTTTCCACGTCCGAGTGAACAGCCTCTTTGGAATTCCTCCGTCCTGCGGTTTTTCAACAGCTAGGAATTGCCCAGTTATAGACAGCTGTAGCTATAGGTTTTATAGAGCCGTATATCGAGGCATAATAACCCTCAAAACCCATCTTTCCCCTAACCCGAACAGATTGCAGGAAATGACTTGCGCTCAACAGGCAACCCAGCTCCCACGAGAAACCGCAGCGAGCCGTTCAACCGGACGTGAAAAACGAGACAGTCCATCATCACGCATACATACCAAACTCAACAAAATCTCCAACTGCCGATGTATAACACCAGAGCTCTCCTGATGATGCACCAGATTCTGCAAACAATCCGCCGTCCGCTCCTGCAAATCCCTAACCTCTTCCCCACCCCCAAAAACCCTCGTGCAGGAAGACGAGACCTGGGCCGTCTGCAGCAGCGCCTCGAACCGCTGAAACGCACTGACATGCAACCTTAATTCTTCCCGCAACGCAATCACATTGGCGGTATCCCTATGCAGCGCCCTCGTCTGCAGCAACACGGACGGTGCTTTTGCCTTCTCCCCTCCTCCTCCATGCAGTTGCGCGTCCCGCAGAGCCAATTCTTCCCGCGCGCATCTCCACACTCTCGACCAATCTGCCAGGAGGGCGAAGAGGTCCACGAAGATTCGCGCTGGGCAGGAGAAGAGCGGTTCGCAGCTCCAGTTGCCCGCTACGCAGTGCCGCTGCAGGGCGTCTGCGACTTTTGCATCCCGGCAGGCGAGTGCGATGATGGGAGTGGATTCGCCTTGTTGTTCGTTATTGTCTTCGGACCTCGAGGAGCCTACGTATGTGGCGACGGGGCTGAAGGAGATTTTTGCGTCTATGTCATGGCTGCTTTGGAAGTCGTAGTGCCAGTCTGAGCGCACGTCTGGGTATTGCATGAAGAAGCGCAAATCTAATCAAGTTAAGCATTTATCTTCAGGAATGCAAGGGAGGAAGGATTACATACCTTTTCTGGCTTTCTTAAATACCGGCAGCACAACCGTGCCACGCTCCCACATGTGCCGCGCCGTCTCAAAATCGAGGAAATCCTGTATCCAGCCGTGAGAAACTCCAGGCAGCGCCGAACTCAGCGCTGCCGAAAGCCATTGGGGTTCTCCCACAATTGACAGAATCCTGCCAGGCCCATTAGCTTTGCCGTAAATGAAATATTCAATCACCCATCCTCACACGATGAACGGAGTTTTCGTCTCCTCAGCCTTCTCCAAGCACCTTCTCAAGTAATCAGGGATGTCGAGTGCGTTCCCAATATGGAATGTCTGCGAGTCGAAATAGTACTTCACCCCTGCCCTGACCTTTGACATGCTACTCTCTTGCTCCAAGTAGTATGCCAGCGTCCAAAACGTCACTGACTCCGGGGAATCCGCGTCCACCGGAATATCCATTGAGTGAGCTGCGTACGGACGGTCGGCGTCTTTTCACATCCAGTTGTACACCCCGTTGGAGGAGTATAGCAGACGTCGCAATTGCCCTAGGGTAGCTTGACAGCGCCTGTCAACGTATAACTTTGAAGCCGAAAGTTCAAAGGACTCAGTCGGACCAGGAAAACCGCATCAGTATCCAACCCCCAGAGTTCGACGGTTATAAACAAACTATCTCCAGCCTCGGTGGCTGCGTGCGGCTGAGACGATGAATGAGTTGCAATAGGTCCGTATCCCACCAATATACGCCACAATCGAGCGTACGACCATCACACTGCCTCCAGCCTGATGCCTCGCGAAGAGTAAGTAGTGGCAGTGCTGCTCTGACCCGATGTTGGAAGCGGCATGTTGTGGCTTCCTTCTGACAGACATCTCTCCCAGTTCCGTCGCAGCGCCACGATAACACTCTCTCCTTCCTCTTCCATCCGACTCGAATATCCGCTCGCAATCTCCCTTCCTGCAGGCAGGCAGTTAGCAGTTCTCCCAGATAGTCCAATCCCAGCCAGCATAAGAGGAATAAAACCTGAAAATATGACCTTTCTGGTATTGTTATACACATCTACCATCTTGATGCCAGTCAGATCGCTGTCCCCTCGCACAAAAGAGACACACACAAAAAAGCAGGAGACCATGCGACCCTATATACAAATCCACTAACCCCCCCACACCCCCCAAGTTCAGAATTCTTCTTTTACACATTGGCCGCCAAAGCCCCCGCCGACTGATCAGGTCCATACGCCACCTGCGGGTTCGGCTCTCCAGGCGCCATGAAGTTCGTTTCGGGGTTCTTCGCCGCGATGGCTGCTGAGCAGCGCGCCATTGTCGGAGAACTATGAATGTCAGTTACGAATCACCACAATCCGAATGGACGTCAACTACTTACTTCCTTGAAATCGAGTCTGTGAAGTAAAAGTTCTCAATCGGCTTCTTGAGCGGCGCTCCCGTCGGCTTGGAGCCCTTGTTTTGATCCACCAGCTGCACCTTGCTCAAGCCAGGCAGTGCCACCTCCTCCACTACATCGTACCGCCTGAGAGCAGGCGAGATCTCCTCCATGCGGTCCCGGAGCGCCTCAACGTCGTCATATGGCAGCTCAGCGCCGAGGTATTCTGATGCAGCGCGGATGATCTTCCAGTCTTCCCTGGAAGCGCCCGGAAGGCCAACGGCGGCACGAGCCATCTGTACGCGCCCTTCGGTGTTGACGTATGTGGCGGACTTCTCCGTGTACGCGACGCCAGGAAGGACGACGTCGGCAAGCTGTGCCCCCTTGTCACCGTGGTGTCCCTGGTAGACGATGAAGGCGTCCTTGGGCAACTCAGCCTCGTTGACCTCGTCGGCACCGAGCAACCAGATGAATTTGGGCTTCGTCTGTGCAACCTCGGGCGAGGGCACTGTGAAGCCAACCTCATAGGCAGCTGCACGGGAAGCGGCCCTCTGGAGAACGTTGTAGCCGTTCCATTCTTGTGTCTGGAAGTTGGCCTTGTTCTTTTCGACGAAAGCACCAACTTGCTCGAAGAAGGACTTGGCGTCGGGGTGTTCTGCGACCGCGCTACCAACGATAATCATAGGCTTCTTCGCAGACTGAAGCTTCTTGCCGAAGGGTCCGGAGAGTGCTGCCTTCAGGTCGTTGGCATTTGAACCCAGGTTCTCATACTCGAATATGCTCTCGAAGTCCTCGCCAACCAGGCCAATCTCCAGATCAGACCTCAACCACTGCTTCCGGATGCGGGTATTGAGAACGGAGGCCTCGTGTCTGGGGTTGGTTCCTAGGAGGAGGATGACATCAGCCTCCTCTACACCAAAGATGCGGGAGTTGAAAGCGTAGTTGGAGCGGACGTCGATGCCGTGGGCAATGGGTTCGCTGCCACCGGGCTGATCCAGAGCCAAGTTATCAGAGCCAAGCCTGTTAGCAAGATCCTTCATAGCCACCATAGTCTCCGTATCGACAAGATGACCAGCAATAGCTTTGAACTCGTTGCCCTTGGGCGCTATTCTCTTGTACGCCTCGCCAATCTCCACGAGTGCTTGCTCCCAGGAGGCCGGTTGGAACTCGTTGTCGACACGGATGAGCGGGTTCACGAGACGTTGCGTGCTGAGCGCGTCACAGGCGAATCGCGACTTGTCGTTGATCCACTCCTCGTTGATATCGTCGTTCAAGCGGGGAAGGATACGCATGACCTGGATTCCGCGGCTGTCGACCCGGATGTTGGAACCAAGGGCATCGAGGACGTCGATGGTTTCGGTATGTGCGAGTTCCCAGGGACGGTATTTGAATGCCCACGGCTTCGCAGTCAAAGCACCAACGGGGCATAGATCGATGACGTTTCCGGACATCTCGGTGTTTAGTATGGTCTCCAGGTAAGTTCCGATCTGAAGGTCGTTGCCACGGCCGGTTGAGCCGAGCTCGGGCGCGCCCGCAACATCATTGGCGAAACGGACGCAACGCGTGCAATGAATACACCTGTTCATCGAGGTCTGCCGCCATCATCAGCAACCTTCCAAACCCGCACACTGATATCCCCACCTTGATCAACGGCCCAATGTTCTTATCCTCCACCGCCCTCTTCCCGCCAATCTCATGGAATCGTCCCCTATCCGATCCATACCTCATCGACTGATCCTGCAAATCGCACTCACCACCCTGATCGCAAATTGGGCAATCAAGCGGATGATTCGCCAGCAAGAACTCCATGACGCCCTCACGCGCCTTGTGCACAAGCGCCGAATTGGTCTTGACGACCATTCCCGGCTGTACCGGCCACGCACATGAGGCGACCGGCTTGGGCACCTTTTCCACTTCCACCAGACACATGCGGCAGTTACCAGCAATCATGAGTTTCTCGTGGTAGCAGTAGCGGGGGACGGTGGAGCCGGCTTTCTCGCAGGCTTGGATGAGGGCGGAGCCGGCTGGGCCGCGTTAGACGGTACGGGGATGGAGGCTGGTAAACTTTGAGCGGGCGTACCTTCAATTGACACCTTTTTGCCATCTATGAAGCTGGTTAGCTGGACGTTGGGACAGATAGACCTGGGGGGCCAACGAACCGATGGTGAGCTCCACCTCTGCAGGCCTCGAGCTTGAGGCAGAGAAGGCCCGGCAGCCATTGAGGCTCGCCCTCGGGGCGGCTCTCTTCAGCGACCGGAGAATTGGTTGCCGCAGCATGGTGACGGGCGCGTGGAGGGGCGAGGGGGATGGGTTTGTTGCTGGGAGCTTCGTCGGACGTCAGTGTTGGTGGTTTCGTAGGTCTCAGCTAGCGGGATAATCCGCGGGGGCTGATTGGTTGGTCGGCCCTGGCCCACGGGTATAAGAAGGTTTTTCCGAGCATCCCCAACGCCTTTTCTTTCTTCAACTCATTCAAGGGCAGAATTTATTGTAGGAAGGTCTAGACGGTAGACGTCGCTCGCAAGAGTGGCGGATACCGTTTCTCACTGGACTTTCCTCTATTACCTGTTCGAGAGCGCGACTCGCGGGGCGTCGTAGCTGGAGCAGATGAGGATTTCGTCTGATGATATCGCGTTCCTTACCAACGATGCTACATTTTTCTCAAAAGCCTCTATACTGTGCCATATTATTGCGTTCAATGAAAGCTCCATCTACGTCTTATGATATTCATGGTTTCAACGCGCCCAAGCCCGGAACGTGAAAGCTTCGTGTCTCACTGCCTTAGCCTCAGACTGATAGGAAGAGAGCTCAAGAACTCTTGCAGAACTACGTTTGTGGATAGCCATTAACAACATACATGACCAAGTCTCGCTACGTCTAATATCCTATGAACCCTTCCCATCTATACTATTGCATCTGACATGAACATGCACCTCACCTACTAAGCTCTGGCATATCTACAACAGCTCTTCGCTACTCCCGCAAACCTAATTTCGTATGGATCCTCGATCATACTTTGTCACTCAACGCCTGCAACTTGTGCCATCCGTCTCTTAGCCGGACTCGCCCTTTCCGCCGCTCTTGCTCTCCGCAGCGAGGCTCTCATGCGACTCATCCGGGAAACGGATCGTCCGCTGTGCGGACTGTGGCTCCTTTGCAGAGCCACCATCGACCAGCCCATCATTCGATTCAAGGACGGCTGGTGACACCAACTCTTCCTTCGCCTTGCCATTCTCCTTGCCCCCACTGTCTCTGCCGCTCGTCACATTCTCCTCCATCGCAAAAGCCTCTCTCCTCGTACTCGACTGCGTAGACTCATTGCCCCGAATAATAGACCTCCCAATCTGCCTCACCCGTCGCGAAGCCGGCGTACTGGTTCCGCCACTCGCGCCTCCAAATCGATTCCTCAGCCCCTGTCCCGCCCACCCGTCATGCTCCCTGATATGGAACGGCACATCGGGCTCATCGTCTCTATCTCTGGATATGGCCTCGGAAATCGTCCTCGGGAGATAGAAGCCCAATTTCGCTAGCGGGATGCTGAGACCGTGGATGACGATGCTGCAGATGACCAGGAACCAGATGACCACATGCAGGACTTCTTTCAGATACTCGGCATCTGCCCTCACCTCTCCATCCACCTTGATCCCGTCAAGGAACTCCTCTGCCACGTACAGATAGAAAATGGCCGAGACGCCGATGGGCCCAAAGAATCCAACATACAGCGCCTGCCGCATCTCTTCAATCTGGTGGATTTTCTTGTGCATGGCCCAGATGATGGGGGGGCGACGGAGCAAGATGACCAGTATGCCGAGTGGAACGAGGCGGTAGAGGGGCATGACGTGGGAGTTGAGGAAGGAAGACCAGGGACAAACGGCGCCGAACCAGATGAAAATGGAGACGTTGAGGAGCATGTCGATGGTGGGTTGGAAGGAGTCGTCCATGGTTTCAAGGCGGAACCAGTCGCTGGTGAAGTGTTAGTAGGTGGATGAGTCTGATTGAAGGAGGGGAGATTGCTTACTCCCAGGTGAAGGTGTTGCCGGCGATGAAACAGGCGAGGACGTCGTCAGAGCCGACCATGCCCATTGTACCCACTATGAAGAGCTAAAACGCAGTCAGTAGAGCAAGACTGTAGTAACGTTCGCCTCAGACTTACTGCTAAAGTAATGGCAAACACGAGAAAGCTCTCCCTATCAACGTACTTCCGCTCCTCCGCCCAGTGCAGCAGCTCCTTCGCCAACCAACCCACCACACCACCATATATGACACTGAGGATGATGGTGTATCCCCAAGTCTCACCGAACCACTTCCCCATAGCATTCGCCGCACTGTTATCAGCACCCAAGCCCCCATGTCCAACATGCTGAATCAAAAACAGCGGCAGAAACAGAAACGGATATCCCAACCCGTCGTTCGCTCCCGATTCCGCAATGATGATCCTCTGCAAGTCCTTGGGGATATTCTTATCCGCAAACTTGCCCTTGACAATACTGTTCGACAGCACAGGATCCGTCGGTGTAACACAAGCGCCAACAGCCAAGGCCTGAACGAAGCTTATATGGGGGACAAAAGCGTACACCAGCAGGCTGGTGCAGACCCACATGGCAACCATGCCAGGGCCGAGAAGCAATGCCAAGCTCTTCCATTCTTTCTTGAGGTACTTGGATGGTAGCTGGACGCCGGCAAGGACGAGCTGCACGCCAAGAACAAGGCGAGTGAAGTAGAGAGTGACGGTGTTGAGGGCTCCAGGAGAACCCAGGACGTACTCTTCGGGTCGGACAAGATTGGTTGCGTGGGGGGAGAAGATGAGTCCGGCGACGAGGGAGATTACTGGAAGGGGTGAGGATACAGCTCCGACCTTGACATGGAGGCTATCTTACGTGCTTCGGATAGGTAGAATTTCTCTTTGCATAGATACGACACAAGACCGAAGAGTGTGATGAATCCTCCCAGCGTAGCACAGACAATGTTGAAGTTGTCAACCACAAGAGTGGGCATGGTGGATACCAGCAGATATGCTTCTTAGCTGTGTTGGCAAGTGTTCTAAGTCGTCTGCGACGACCAGAAGCGAGTGTTAGGGAACCGGAGGACTGCTCTTGCTTCTGCGTCTACAAGCGTTCGCAATTGGTTGAGATTTTATCGATCCCGCAATTGTTATTGAATCATGGAGGATGGATGTGGTGAAGTTGAACGTTCTGAAGACCGCCACTTTGAACGATGGTGCCTAACGGATACGTGATGGGACAGAATAGTCCCGAGCAGTGTATAGGGAGCAGATGGTCTATCCGCGGTGCAATGAAAGTGTCGTAGACGCGGTGTATGGGGATGCTGAACAGGTAGTGGTTTGCGGGTTGTCGCCCAGAGAGAAGAAATCCCAAGTTACGTAGCGTCTAGGCGGAACTTGGCCGCCAAGTCTGCAACGTCTTACTGTCAGCGCACAAGAGGGCAATGTTCACGGTGGGGGCTATAACGCTGGAATGATAGGCTGCTCGAACGATGAAGAGTAAAGATGTACGAAGATAAGGCATCTGAAATACATATTACACAGTACAGTCAAACGATGACATCACCGCCGTCGCAAGATGCCAGGTGCCTCTGGATAATTGCCAAGCCGAGTCCAGACCTAAACTCATAACACTGATAGTGTGCCGAATTATTATGACTGTGGTATGCTCGGTACGGGGTACAACAACACCGAAACGTGGCAGCTGCTATAACATACTGTGGTATAACACCCTTTTCGATAAGGATATGAGGCTTTTGAATGGCAGTCGTCCCATATTTGACAGGATGGCAGTACACAGTACGGATACAGATGATACCTAGGTACCTAGGTAGACGAGGCTATCGAATCGCCCCGCATCTCAGCCAGCCTCGTTTCCCACTGCTCCCGGTGCTCCGTGCTGTTATCGTTATCGATAAGGCGACGGAATCAGGACCAAAGCTCCCCCGACTTCGGGCGCACCGCCACAGGCGAGGGGGGCAAATCAGGGGCGAGAGAAGCTCGCCTTGGCAGCCCTACGCAGACTAGCGTACCCGCTGCATCTCGTCCCTGCATCGAAGCAGGGGTTTGGGATCTGCATCTCGAATTTTTTTTGCCCGCTTCCCGATTTTCTGTTCTCGCCCCAACGAGAATCATTGAGTTGCGCCCGAACCCGTAACACCCACGCTGCAGGCCAGCAGAGACGTCCCGATTTGAATTCTCCACTCAATGAACCTCGATATCTGTCGATCAGTCTCCGTACGACCGAGAATAAGGATGGCGAATGGTCGTTGGTGAATTCTCAGGGCCTCGGTTATTACACGTCGACCACGAACAGCCAGCCCAGACACAGAACATGTGCGCACGGCCAAGTCACACATTCCAATTGGGCCAACAGAAAGTGCAGCAAAGACAGAGAAACCAAAAAGCGGTCTATCCTGCCGCCTTACCCCATAAAGCCGCCAAGCGAGGCGGTGGTGAGGAGTGTCCATAATTTCATTCGCAATCCGCGCTTGCTGGTCAACCCACCGCCGAAACATGGCGAGTGCTCTTGATCTATGCTCCTCCCACGCCTCAAGAAATTCGTTTTGCCACCGCTCAGGCTCACGCTCGTGCTGAGTCTGCGCGCAAGAGACTCAACATGTCCTGTAACTCGTGTTGAGAGGCACGACTGCAATCATGTTTGCCCCGGCCGACTCGGCGAAGCGGACGGCAGTGGTCCAGCTGGCTCCTGCCACTTGTTGCTGCAGGTCCCTTTTCCAATCATTCCTACGTAGTAGATCCCCTCTCGCCCTCCCCCCCCGGTCTCAGGTCCCGTCGAGAACGCCGTTTTCGCGTGAGCTAAACCACTCCGGGAAACATCAGGGTCTCGTCAATTTCTCCATACCGCCTGCGCCATAGCTGTTAAAAAGCCCGTCTCCTTTGCCCTCTCTTCCTCTGCTCATCCTCTTTGCAAGTCGCTCTCCCTCCCTCCTCACCCCCTACTCTCATCTCGTCCTACCTCGGGGTACTCCGTACCGTACAGTCATTGCAGCGTGCTGCAAATTCCTCACCCACCCTCCCCTACCTGTTATCCCTCCGTGCGCCGGCCCGCCTCGACCCTATCGATCAATCACTACCGCCTCACCCCACATCCCTCCTCCGTCAATAGACTCCCACACTCATTTCTGAGCTACCACTGGTCTTCTTGTCGGCCCAGTTCTCCTTCAATTGATACCACACGAGTCTCTTCCACGCACACAGTACAAAATGTCTTCCACTGCACGTCCTCAACACCCTCTCCTCAGGAGGAACATCACCTCCGACTCGGTCGTCTCATCGAGCGCAAACTCGGTGTCCGTATCGCCCATTGACTCTCCCACGGGCTCGGCCTCTTCCACGTCCCTCTCCTCTCTGGGCTCCGTCGATGATGTAAAGCCCTCGACTGGCAAGCTTCTCGACACGTACGGCAACGAGTTCGAGATTCCCGACTACACCATCAAGCAGCTGCGTGATGCGATTCCCAAGCACTGCTTTGAGCGCTCCGGCGCAAGGGGTCTCTTCTACGTTGCCCGCGATGTTGCCATGATGGGCGCCACCTTCTTCCTCTTCAACCGCTTCGTCACCCCAGAGTACGTCCCCTCGACTGCCGTGCGGGCTGCGTTGTGGGCCGGATACACCTTCGTGCAGGGTCTGTTCGGAACCGGTCTCTGGGTCCTCGCCCACGAGTGCGGCCACCAGTCCTTCTCGCCTTCCAAGGTCCTCAACGACACCGTTGGCTTCTTCTGCCACTCCGCCTTGCTTGTCCCCTACTTCTCCTGGAAGATCTCGCACGGCAAGCACCACAAGGCCACCGGCCACATGGAGCGCGACATGGTCTTCGTGCCTAAGACCAGGGAGGAGTACGCCTCGCGCATCGGCAAGTTCGCACACGACCTGCACGAGCTTACCGAGGAGACTCCCATCGCCACCGCCCTTCACATGGTGGGCCAGCAGCTCGCCGGCTGGATCTTGTACCTCTGCACCAACGTTACCGGTCACAACTACCACGAGCGCCAGCCCGAGGGCAAGGGTAAGGGCAAGCGCAATGGCTGGTTCAGCGGCGTCAACCACTTCCTGCCGTCCAGCCCGCTGTACGAGAAGAAGGACGAGCACCTCATCCTGCTCAGCGATCTCGGTCTCGGCTTGGCTCTGTCGGCGCTCGCGTACGTCGGAAAGAACTACGGCTGGATCAACCTGTTGGTCTGGTACGGGATCCCGTATCTGTGGGTGAACCACTGGCTTGGTAAGTCTTCATTGTCTCCCAACTCCGCATCAGCACCCCCGTACTAATACCATCTCCCAGTCGCCATCACCTACCTCCAGCACACCGATCCCACCCTCCCCCACTACGACGCCAACACCTGGACCTACACGCGCGGCGCCGCTGCCACCATCGACCGCGAATTCGGCTTCATCGGCCGCACCCTCTTCCATGGCATCATCGAAACCCACGTCCTGCACCACTACGTCTCGACCATCCCCTTCTACCACGCCGACGAGGCGAGCGAGGCCATCAAGAAGGTCATGGGCAAGCACTACCGGAGCGACACCGAGGGCGGCTCGCTCGGCTTCTTGAGGGCCCTGTGGAGGAGCGCGAGATGGTGCCAGTGGGTGGAGCCGAGCGAGGGCGCCCAGGGCGAGGGCAAGGGCGTCTTCTTCTTCAGGAACCGGAACGGCCTGGGTACCCAGCCGCGGAAGCTGGCGCCCAAGGGAGCCAAGATGGAACTCGGCGCTGAAGAGGAGTAGGCTAGTTTCGAGCATTTGGTATCTTTTCGTTTCTGATGTTCCTTCTTTTCCATTCACGCCTTTTTCGAATCAAGAGCATGCGGTGCGGAATGCGGGATCTACTACGGGCTGCGTGACTGGGCTTTTCGAGAGGCGCGTGGCCAAAAAGAAAACGACGGACGAGTTTATGATGCATCCCGACATGCTTGCACCACCCGCATTTCCAGTTTTCCCGTCTGTCAAGAAGATAGATATAGATATCCGGGGAGCGTACGTTTGGAGACGGATTACCCGTTGTTTAATGACGACTCGAGGAGGAAGGGTTAATGGAAACAGTTTCAAAGGTTCAGAGTGTGCGCATGTTGATGTGAGGGATTGACTTGGCTAAGTGTCCAGGCAGCTGCCAACAAGGTCCTGTGATGTTGATATAAGCCTAGAGGGATGCCGGGGCGTGGCGCGAGCATAGGTATGGATGAATCTGATGCGGGTTTCAGAACCTTGCCTTCCTTTGTCCAATGCCCTTCCCTGTTTACAATAAATATCCGACTTATCCGTCCGTAGCCCTATTTCTATTTATATTATACGTTTTTGCTATTTAGCAACTGCTAGTGCCCGTGCTGGGGTGAACGGGTACAGTAGCTAATGGTGTGCGCCCGCCTTTCGTAGATACCCTGCCTGCCTGCGCTGTGAGGAGGGGGGATCGAAAGCTTATTTCCTCACTAACAGTATGTAGCTCAAGTAATCAAGGATCCGATCATGACCGAAATCCCTGTGTCCCAAACCCGGCTCTATACTCCCTCCAGTCCATGTAATCATACACACAACCCGCGCATCCCAACAAACAAAAAGTCCAGATCCGTAATCTCTACCGCTATCCTCACCCCCTTCTCTTCCCCTGCGGATTCGGACTATTCCCCCTCTTCTTATCACTCGCCGCCGCACTCCCGGAGTCCTTCTTCCCCGCCATCCACGACGCGAGATCGAAGTTCTGCAGCGCCTCGGCGGGGTTGGCGCCGCTCGTTAGGGGACTCTTCTTCTGCATTTCTTCGAATTCGGCTTTGGTTTCTGGGTCCACTGTACTGAGTTAGCCTTGCGGTTGCTTGGGGAGGGGGAGAGTCTAGGGTGTATGTATAGGCGAGCGGGTGGACGTACTGTTCTCCATGAGGTACGGCATGCCGAAGATAAGAACCCCCGAGACGAGCGCCATGAGGATCATGGGGTTCTTCAGGAAGGAGAGTGGCGAAACTATAATCCCCGTTAGCAGAGCTGTAAAACTACGCAATTGCATGACGCTAAAAGACTTACATCCTCCACGTTGTTCATAATACTCCTTCCTCGCCACAGGCCTCACCTCCACCACGACCGCCCCATTACTTCCACTACCCCTACTCTCCCCCTTATTCTCCCACTCGTTGCCGAAAAACGTCTGCCACGCCCTAATCACCTCCTTCTTCTCATCTCTTCCCTCACCAGCTTCCTCAAGCGTAATGTCTATCCGCAACGGCTCGAAGATGTAGTCTCGGCAGTGGATGGTGGCGAGGTAGCTTCCTGGGGGGACGTCGATGAAGAGGAAGGAGTTGGAGCGGGTGAGGTGTGCGGTGAGAGGGGGACCGGCGGATTGCAGGGTTGCGTGGGTTGTTGGTGGGAGGGTGGAGGGGTTGGCGAGGGGGGTCGTGGGGATGTGGAGGGTTAGAAGGGCGGCGGTTAGGAGGGGGGGAAGGAGGGTGAGGGGGAGGAGGGGGAGTTTCATTTTGGGTGGTGGTTCGGGGGTGAGGGATGGGTGGTGGTAGAGGGAGCTGGAGGCATGGGAGATGGGCCCCGGGATGATAAGATGCGTCGGGGAAATGATTTGCCGAGGAAGGAAGGTCCCCTTCCCAAGGCCGATGAAAACAAAACGTCATTGCTCGAACTACTATCTATGTACTGTATGTCTTCATTGAATCTCGGGTGGTGCGAGATGGGACATTTTTACACTTGGAATCCACGTACAACTTACTACTCCGTACAGTGCATGCTTTCTGCAAGAAGTTCAGGTGGCCCTGGCCCACTCCTTTCACGTCCACCACCATGTCCAACTACGCACACTGCCTAACCAGTTGTCAAAGCAGAGGCCCGATGCCCATTGTAGAACCGACAGATATTTACGTCGTCATCTTCTATGTTCCAGCGTTCATATCGCGTTTTGACGAGAACCGTATCCAGACGCCACATTTCCGTCCTGCGCCACACTCCGGTCAGTTCTCAAGGCCTTGAACTCAGCCTCGCGCATCGTATTATAGACTATCAACTTTCCCTGGGATTTCTCCTTTTCGCAATGTTGTTCACCTACGACGGACAATTCCCTATGACATCTTCTCATTATGGCCGAACTAGCAGCCAGCATCATCGGCATCGTCTCTGCAGGCACCAAGGTCACTCTTGTGCTCTCTCAGCTCGCAGCAGATGTTGGCTCGGCGGCCAAGGAGGCGAGGATGATAGCCAGCGAGATTCGCACGTTCTGTGCAGTCGTACAGACGCTGGGGGATACTCTGGCCAAAGTGCAGAATTCAAAATACTTTGCGCATTGTATTGAGATGGTGAGTTATTTCCCACCTTACTCATCCTTTCTAACCCTCGTCTAGACGAAAGACATGACCGATGCCTCGTTGGAGATGTTCACAGAAATTCTAAAGGCATCCGAGGACATGCTCAAAATTTCAAAAGGCAAGGATGGCAAGTTTGGGCTCAAGGGCAGGGTGCAGTGGGCCATATTCGAGAAGCCGAAAATCACCCTCCTCAGAGCTGCACTTGAAGCCTACAAGTCGAATCTAGCGCTGATGCTTGGGACCTTGAATACTGCGGAAAAAGTGACTAGAAGAATGCAGGTGTCGGTGGTTGCTATGAGTTCGCATATAGCTAACTGCTCTCCAGGTCTCTTCAAATTACTCCTGATGTAATTGCTGAGGATGAGAGAGATAGAGCACTCCTGCAGAGTCTTGAGAATGAGCATCGGGCTTCTTTAATTGACGTCAACGAAGTGCATCGACAGTTGAAGGAGGATGCCGACCGAAATCCTGAAGAGGTGGATCTTTCAGCGGACCATTCGAGCGATACGGAACCACCTAGTGACGCAGCGGACGTCGGTTTCGCCCCTCTCAATGATTCCTCTACGGACAGCCTGTTGGAATCCGCACTCCTCGAGATTGCCTCCATCCGAACTAGTCTTTCAAGAGCTTCCGCTTTTGACAGCGATGTTGTGCAAGAACAGATATCGCGATATAGCAAGAGTTTATCCCAACTGATGTCCGAGGATCAGCATAGGCTAAGCCAGCGTTGGTCTTCCGTCCTTGCTCCGGAATTTGCGAAACAAGGAACGCCCACCCTGCCCAGCCATCTGGATCCTAGGCGCACCTCCTTCTGGACGTTCACATCCTCGTTAGCTGAGCGCAATCCACAGTCGACATACTCCGACAAAAGCCCCCAGTTGCCGCGGACTCCGATGCCTCACGTGCCAACCGTTTCGGCGAACGTCTCTCAACCAGCACTTCCAGGTCTGCCATCTCCTGCCTTGAGCAGCGACCGGAGATTAAGCATCCTATCTGACAGTTTCTACGATATCGTGCGCACCTGGCTTATGGAGAAACCTATGAATGATCGCAGAATAATCGTAGGAACGTTGATGAACGAAGTGTGCACCGTCACCCCCAAGTCGCCCGGGACCAATATTTTCCCCCAACAGGTTCGCTCTCCTTCGCAAGATGCAAGGATCGATCGTAAGAAATCTAAAGAAATCGATCTGGTTGTGCAGCAGCAAATGAAAGATTTCTCCGAACGTACCGAAGCCGAGGGGGCAACTGATTCGACTCCGATGCGCGATCTTCCCGGTTTAACGATCGACCTGGGTCATCTGCAGATGGACTCCTTACCACAGCACATTGTCGATGTCATCCACCGAGCTGTTGAGAGACTATCTCTCTCCAGTAACCGTTTCAACCGACTACCAGAAAGTATAACAATGTGTCAAACGTTACGTTACCTGAATCTTCGGGATAACCGCTTCGAAGCTGTGCCACCGCCCGTCCTGGAGCTCCCTTTGCTAGAGATACTAGATATGTCAAAGAATAGGCTGACGGCTATACCTGAGACGATATCGAAACTGCGACAATTGAAGGTCCTTGCAGTGTCGAAGAATAGCATCACGCGCCTACCGTACGCTCTGGTGGGCATGGACCAGCTGATAATATTGAAGTTCGACAAGAACCCGATAGAGTTTCCTCCACTAGCGGGACTGGAGGCTTGGATGAGGTCTCGTGCGTCTTCGCGGACATATAAAAATGACGACCATAAGACAATGGACAGGACAGCGTGCGTGAAAATGTATATCCGGGCCTTGAAGGATCTTGATACATGTAAGCGATGTCCTCAATATTCCGTACCCAAACTTGTTGGGGACAGGACGGTGTTCCGAACCGCATCTTCAGGCCCCGGGTTTTCAGCTAATGCTAACGTAATATAGCTCCTGGTGAAGAAGACAACTTTCGGGAACATCCCGTGTACGGGACTCGCCCTTCCAGATATCCCGTCGTACCGTCAACGCTAGCAGCGGCGTCCGCTCCCTGGAGTAAGGACAACAATGTCGAGAGGAGTCCAAAGTACGATCGTCATTTGCCGTCTCTGTCCCCGATTTGGGGGCCGGATGCTGAGGTGCAGGATTCCAATATCCAGTCCATTTCGACCACGTCGCCTTCCACTCACCTGACAAAACTGGCAAGTGCTGAAAATATCACAAAGACAGCAGATGTACCTCAAGTACCGGCATCCCGGCAATTAGGAACAGTCACTATCTCTGCATCAGGGTCGCCGTCCCCAGTTAAGCTGTCTGCCCACCGTCTTTATCACTTTTTTTCAGCACCCTCGCAACCATGATCGGCACATATTATGTACTACTAACCTTGTTTAATTCTCTACTTTATGGTATAACTCCGTCCCTCTTCACTTACCCCAACAGCTTGAGCCCGCTTGTTCACCCGTTTCTGTCCCTTAGGTGTGAGATGGAACCATAGTTGACCGGGACAACGGGGCATAAACGATGATACTGCTCACGGCGAGCTGAAAGTGAAGTCATCTTCCCAATAGACCGAAGAATGAACATGAAATAATGAGAAGAAAGATGCCCACGGAACTGACTAAGTAGCTTTGCCGAGAAAGTTGTCAGTCTTCACCAGAAGTCAAGCATGCGCATGAAAGCAGAATCGCTATACAAGTCTAGTGTTACTGAAACCGATTATACGTGTCGACGGACTCCTTCGCTCTAATCTTGTGATCCAAACTACATGGCTATTAGCAACATCTAGATGCATTGTGGAAAGCAACCTCATCCAGTGTGTTTAAGAAAAGTTACACCAGAGATGAGCCACACCTAAATCACCACGACACACAGATGCATATTTGTGAGGGCGCCCACGGATGCTTCACACTTGCACATATCCACCCCACGGCATCGTATTTGGGTCATAGGGTCCAAGCTCACACCTCATGGATCAAAGGGTGCCTCAAATGTTCTACTACCCTCGCTGACAGGCCCAGTACTCAGAATCCCTCCTCTTCCTTGTCTTGGACAGCCACAGGTGTCTCAGATCGTATCACCGGCATAGTCTCTTCCAGCGATGATATCACATTCTTCGGGCTTGAATGCCCATCGTCGCCGTACTCCTGGACTGCTGGAGCTATCATTGAATATGAGCCTAAACCCGGATCCAGGAACATCGAACTCCGTTTGGAACCTTCCATTTGCGCACCAGCAACAATGCTGGCAAGAGAAGGATCAAGAGCCGGTACTTTACTACTGGGCGGGTTGTCCGAGCCCGACCTTTGATGGTTGCTGGGTGTAATGATGCAGTGACGCATGTCGCCATTGAAGTCGGTACACTGTGATAGGTTTTGGACGTCAGCGAAGCCGCTGCTGTTGAAAAGGTGAGGTCGACTAGAGATTAAGCATGATCATGTTGTGATGAGCGCTGCATCTCTTGAAAGTGAGGGGTATGCAACCTGTCGCTGCCTTTCGTACTTTCACAGCACCAGAATTGTGCTATATAGTTGATTAAATGTAGAAATTTAAATAAAAAAAGGTGCGGTAGTGTAATGGTATCACAACACGTTGTGGCCGTGTTAATCTGAGTTCGATTCTCAGCCGCGCCATCAAAATCTCTTTTTTTTTGTCGTTTTGTAGGCTTAGTAGGCTTCCAACGCATATGGCGGGGCAAGAGGGTTTTGTGGCGATCTTTTGGGGTTGGAGGGGACCGCTGGACGAAGCGGGATTAGTGCTTTTTAACCGCCGTCGAGCTCCAGCTTAACCTGGATTATTACATTTTCGCACAACAATAGTTCCAAGTGTAGAGCAGCATATATATGCTGAAGAGGTTAGACGAGAGAGACAGTTGAATTTTGGTAGAATTTGTCGGTCGACGGCATCTCGACCGTCTCTGGAAGCGGCTGTTTAGACTAGACGCATTTGGAATTGTATTGCGGAAGTTTGTTTAGATCCAGATGTAATGTGGGAAGGGTATCCGGCGTTGTCGTGATGCCGATTGCGGCACTTTGAAGATGCCGAGGCGGCATGATCCACCAACGCCACAAACACCACACGCGGCTGTGAAAAATAGTTGTGGGATTAAGGAGGACTTTCAACCCATTTCCCTGTCGTTTGCTAAGGCAGGAACTGTAACTTTTTAGTTGTGGGCAAAATATGTTGAAATCACAGTCTCCTTAATAGCTCATCATCCAGAGAGGTAACCCTCGCATGCACGATGCCAACTGAAAACGGTATCTCAAGGCATTCAGCGTGAACAACCTCAATATAATCAATAATCACAGAATCCTCAATACCCTGCCGATTTCTTCTCCTGCATTTGCCCGGACCACCCCTGACCTGAAGTGCCGGACAACCGCGTGGTGCCCGACAGATGAGCAGGTGGAGTGATCCCTTTCGGCTTAATAAGCCGATTGCTGCGGCTTCTGCCGAGAAGCCTTACCTCATGTTGGCTAGACCGCGGCCGGACGCTCGGCGACGTCACCATTAATGAGCATTTTGAAATACCATCTCCGCCGTCCAAGCTGCCTACAAAACCAACGCTTTGTCGCCCCCTTCCCTCTACACCTTTTTTGCCTCATTTACACTACGCAACTTTACTTGCCAGATCCAATTCGACCAACTCTGATACGCCGGCTTTTGATACTGCTACTGAGATAATTTGGAAAGATGAAGGTCCTTACTAAGGAAGAGGAACAGGCGCATTACAAGTACGTCAAGCGTTGCGCGCCGCAATTCCAAGCGCGACGAAATCTAATGAAGTTCTACAGTGCCACCATCAAAGGCGGAATACTTGGCGGTATCATTGGCACCGCTCTGGGAGGCGTTGGCATGTTCTATGCGAACCGCAGATTCCCAGTTATCAGAGGCCTCACTGTTCCCTTCAAGGCTTTCCTCGTCTCCTCTACAGGAACCTTCGCTGGTATGCTATCCCTCGGCTTGAGCCTTCCCAATTGGAAGATGCTAATCTACGATTTCAGCCGTCATTGCCGCCGATCGCGCGTCCGCCAACTACGACCTACAATACAATCCCGAGAAGCGCCGCGAATTAGAGCGCGAGCGAGAGCGCGAGCGCGCCCTTCTCGCGAATAAAACCACCCTCCAACGCGCCAAGGAATGGGCAGAGGAGAACCGCTATCCCATCATCTTCGCCTTCTGGGTGCTCTCCATGGGCGGCTCGTGGGTCATGGTCAACCGCAACCCGTACCTGAGTGCAAGCCAAAAACTCGTCCAGGCGCGTATGTATGCACAAGGATCGACATTGGCGGTGCTGCTGGCCAGCTTCGCCTTCGAGGCAAGTGATGCGAATAAGGGCAAGGGCAGGTGGGAGACGATCAAGGTGGTGGATCCGAATGATCCGGAGCACAAGCATCTCATTGAGAAGAGGATACATCATGAGCGGTATCCTGGAGAGGATCAGTGGAGGGGTACGTTCACTTATTTTCCTACGTCCCTGTAACTTCTAGTACATGTTGACTGACTCATCACGACAGATATGATTGAGGCCGAAGAGGCTCGACGGAAAGCCCGCGAGGCCGAAAGGGCGAAGGCCCAACAGAAAGAGGCGAGCAAGGAGGAGCAGGCTAAGGAGGCAAAGGCTTCCCATTAAACCGTTACTCCAAATCCTTGCATCCGCAGCACCCGTTCCCCTGCACCTACATACCATTCCTCTCATGTACAGTCTTCGGTAGCATCATCTCCGGCGTTCGGTAGCGTCTCTCGGTTTTTAAAAACAAAGCCACATGTTGTGTACTACTAGACGGATCGCTTATATAATCGAATTTTTCTGCGAAAATGCACCGTGCGCAGTTGAGACCTAAGACGCTACTAATTGCTAACAAGCTATACTTTGTTAAATTAGGAGGCCTCCTGCTTTAAAGCGTAGTATTTGTTTTTGAGCTGCCTTCTCAGCGTTCCGGTCGAGTTGCAATCCGCTGCAGCGACTGAATCCTTTCTCTTGCGCTGCGCTACTCCGCAATCGTGTCATGGCGTTTTATCGAAAGTCAAGTAATCGTCTAGTTGCAGGTGCCTTCTATCGTCTTCTTCCACGGACGGTACAATTCCTAAGAGCTAGGAGTTTCTGCACAGGATCGACTCGATCTCTGGCTCAGTACTCAATGGAAGAACCTGCTGAGCTATTTGAATACACATCAGGGCGGTGGATGTTTGTCAACGCCATTCGCTAAAGCCAACGCTCATTACTGACAATCGACTGAAGTTGGAATGACGCCTTGAGGCACTCTGAACGAAGACGTGTTTTTGATGTATCGGAGTTGAAGCGCCTCGCGGCCGCGGCTGTCAATCAAAACGTAGAAGACGTGACGTCTTTTGAAAAATTACCTGAAGGGGGATTCAATCGAACTTTCCTACTTACGATGCGTGACGGCTTTCAGTTCGTTGGACGCATCCCTTATCCAATCACCGAGCCGAAACACCTTGTCGTAGCTAGCGAAGTCGCGACGATGGACTTTCTCCGTTCACACGGCATACCTGTCCCTCGGATCTACAGTTACTCGGCTACATCGGAGACGCTGCTGGCACCGAATATGTTTTCATGGAGCTTATCCGAGGAAACAACTTGGGTGACATATGGTTTGACCTTTCTGAAAAGGCTAGAATTACCGTTGTCACCAAGCTCGTGGAGCTGGAGTCTCGACTGTTTGCTCTTGATCTTCCAGCAAGCGGTAGTCTGTATTACACCAAGGATTTGCAAGCTGGGTCCAGTAAAGTTGGGGTTGCTATCTCGAACTCTGCAGGCGATGGCGACTTTTGCATTGGTCCTGATACAAGACTCAGCATGTGGCATGGAAAACGGAGCGATATCCAGGTTGATCGTGGACCATGTACGTGCCAGCGCTTTTATTCACATAGCCAGATTTACTTTCCTATTGATCATCTGCTACAAACTACTTTATTCCCCACCGGCAACCTCAACTGAGTATTCAAAAGATACAGATCCAGCAGCGGCACTTATAGCCGGGGCCAAGAAGGAAATTGCATATTTGACAAAGTTTGGCAAACCGCTTCACCCCTTCCAACGTCTGCGGCGAGAGGTCTACAATTATCAAAAGCAATCGCCTTTAGATCATCTTGACAGTCTGGACAAATACCTGCGAATTGCGCCTTATCTAATTCCGCATAGCAACGAAACCCTTACCCGCCCGACGCTAAGACATCCCGATCTCCAACCAAATAATGTGTTTGTCTCTGAGGAACTCGAAATCACTAGTCTGATCGACTGGCAACACTGCGCAATACTCCCGCTCTTCTTGCAGTGTGGCATTCCGAACAGCCTCCAGAATTACGGCGATGACGTCTCCGAATCTCTTACACTTCCCGAATTGAGCGAGAGCAAACAGTTCGAGCAGGTCTTGCTCTTACGTCGGCGTCAACTTCACTACTTCTACGTTGCAATGACTGCGAAACTGAACTCGACGCACTACGACGCTCTAGCCTACGACTTCAGCATCTTGAGGCGCAAACTCTTTGATCACGCGAGTTCCCCCTGGGAAGGCGATAACGTGACACTCAGAGCTGACCTCATTTACCTAACGGAGAACTGGTCGGATATTGTCGCTCCGGAATCGAGCGCAGGAGGTGAATCGAGGGCTCCTTGCCCGATTTCGTTCACAGAAGAGGAGGTGGCCGAGTGTAAACGTCTGAATGCTGCGCAGATTGAGGTAGACGAGCAGCTCCAGGCTTGTAGGGACGTTATTGGCATCGGCGCCGAGGGATGGGTACCCTTGGAGCTGTATGAAGAGACAAAACAACGTGCAATCAAGCTGAAGGCTGATGCGCTTGAAGCGGCTGAGTCTGAGGAGGAACGAGCGAGGCTATCCGAGCATTGGATTTTCGATGATTTTGATGAAGAGGGGTATTCGTAAAAATCTGTCAGTTATAGGTGGGGAGAAGTGATACAAAATACGCCACCAGAGGAACAGATCCAAGGCAAACATTTTGAAGAGCAGTCTACGTGAACATTTCCGAGCGAACTATGGTTCACGGCCTTTCGCAGAACACAACTTTTGGGTGCGATTTGCGGCGGCATATAGTGCCGGTCATCGGACAACCCAGGCGGAGTCAAACAATGCTACTTAATCCACAATCCGACTCGAATTTACAACGGCATTGAGCTGTCCTTTCATGCTCCGATTTGGCACACAGTAGGTTCTCGAGTTTTCATTATTTACACAGAGTATATCCTGGCCCACCTACGTATCCATCGTCTCTCAACTGTCTGATGTTTTAGCAATGCTAGAAAGGCGGGGCGCATAAACGGAGGGAGTGCATTAGCATACTAGTTGGGCGCTAGGGATGGCGCTGGCAACGGCAAGAATGAAAATAATGAGGAACGACTTCGTTTTGACGGTGCTTTTGAAGGTACCAAGTTGCAGGTGGAACAATGGTGTTGCAGTGAATGGCGGTGAGTTGGTGATGCGGTTCAAGTGGGTCAAAACGCTGCACTCTATACTTCTCTGTCTAGCGACAAGAAAAGTTGATGCCTAAGGGTGCTTTTTCCAAACAGTTTCCCATATCGCGCTGTCTATAGCTCACTATGGCCTGGTTTACGATACAACTTGGACCGCCACATACAACCGAAATGAGGACGAACCTTTTCCTCAAATTGAACGTCATTCATGTAGTCATGTGCTGCCTCTGCCAGGAAGGCAACACCATCGAATACCGAAGTGGAGATGTTGGCATTTCGAACCAAGTCTGCACCAAGGAAGTTCTCCAACAGGGGATAGAGAGCTTCATTGTGCGAATCGTCACCATACACCAATAATTGGTGGATATCTTCAGGGAGATTGAATTCCGGCGGTGGCTTGGCGAACAGATGTTCCAATGACTCCTTCAGTGCCTGCAATTGATTGTCCTTCTCGATTGTAGGCCCAACCACAGTGCCCTCGACTGGGTCCAAAATAACACCCTCGTCGAAGGTGTACATTCCAACATTGAACCAATGAAGGCTGTAGTCTATCGCAAGGACAGTCCGAGGCTCTGGAATCTCGTAACCTGGGGCGTCAAAATCAGGCTCCCCCCTGGGTTCGCGTGAAAGTATTTCGCACTTGGCCGCTTGAATAACGCCGAGTATTGGACTAACCCCCAGAGCTCGGAGAGCCTCTCGAGCAACGCTCTCCTCATAGTTCTTTTGAACGTGATCGAAGCTGAGTGCGGCATAGCAGAAGTTGGTGCCGAGATATGATTCTACTGCTACCTTGAGCGTTCCAAGCAGGGTCTTTACGCTGTTGACATCTGGATGGTGGCAAATATTAACGTCCAATCCCAAGGCCGACGGAAGAACGTTCAAGACTGGGGAGAACCAGCGACAGAGGGTGCTACTGTCGTGAGTAGTTGAGGTCGTTCGCTTCCTCATGAAAGCCTGGTAGTCGGGACGTCCCTGTATCCGAGCTATGGGGACAGTCGTTCCGTCTTTGAGGTGGATCGCAGCTACGCTGTTGACTCGTGTTAGACGTGAACAAATGGGAGGGAATGGACAAAGTGGACACTTGCCCATAATCAGGTGTCAGGCCGAAGGCTACGCCAGGAGCGCGAGGAAAGAACCAATAATGGGCATTCACTTGGAACGCTGTAGAGAGAATATGTAAAAAGTAGAATAGCATCAACGTCGAATTCCAGTGTGCCATTTGGACGTGCGATCACTGAATAACCACTACCGGTGTTAGGTTAAAGAGATGCTGGAGAGCTGGGGAAGTCAATCTCGAATGCCGGGAATGATATAGATGGCCGTTCTTGTGCAGCTGTTATGGCGTTGTGCGAGCAGTTCTAAAAGAGTTGCGCGTCTGAAGTGAGGTTGAAAGTTTCATTCATGGGAGCCTGCACAGCCGACGCCGTTACCTTGTGATGTCTACGCCGCACGCTCTACGCGCGCGCGTCGTATGGCATAGCAAATCACGTTCGTTTATTTCCACTCTTGTTTGCGCCGCGCGTTACATGCATCTGCGGAGTCCGAGGCGAAAGAGTGTGGACAGCGTGAACACTGAACGAAATATACCAACTGGCAACCCAAGTTAAAGTGTGCGCCTCGGAATAGCAGAACCCTCGATGTTCTTCTTATCCCGCTCTGAAAATATACCGCATAACGTAAACTAGCTGCGGAACGCGTCGTTTGGTGAATGCAGACCTATGCTCTCTATTAACTGAACGCACCAATGCCCTCCAGGCACTGACACTATATTTTTCATCTGTTGAAATTTTCCGTCTAATTGGACCCGTATATTACAGAAACATAGGGTATCACCTACACAGTCCCTCGTCTATGTATTCCTTCTATATCTCTTCCAGAGATATGCTAGTACAAGGGAAACGAGAGAAAGCCTCCCTATCAAGGCAACAGCTACTGCCCTCCTAACAATCGGATAGTATCCCTCGAGCATGGAATTCACAGCTGCACCCCTTGCAATCATCTTGTCCCTTCCACGTCTACCCCAGTCCCGACCCACACCTAACCCGGCTATGCCCACCTCTCCGGGCTTCTCTTGTCCGGTGGCATCGTCGGATACCTGCTCAGGCAGATTCCCTCTGGATACGTCATCATCTACAGTTGGTCCATCATGTGCCGTGCCGACAGTTCTATTACGGACTTCGGTTGAGCTCATCTCTGCAGCTTTGCGCTTCCTGAATCGGTAGGACATGGCCCACATTGTAAATCGGACGTCCCAGTTGGTGAAGGTTGGGTATGTCCACAGTTCTAGGGCGTTATGTGGAGGTATATGTTCGAGGAAATCAGATACGACTCCCAAAGTCAAGCCCCACAGCAGTAGAAGGGGCGGTCGTTGGCGGGCAGTCGGGTATGCAGTTTCCGGACCCAGTAACACTTCTTTCAGTTTTCCAAATGCCGTGTTATGATGTGCGGAATCTGGGGCCGGGATGAAACCCGGTATCGAGCTGCAGTACGTACTTGCGGAGGGAACGAGACGGATGGCGGCGAACATCATCTGGCTGAGCATAGTCTGCAGAAACCAGCGTTTGATACCAAGTTCCGATTTTGCAAGACGGTTCGACACGTCAGCATATTCGTAGGTACGAAGGGCGGGAGACATGAGTGCGCGGAGTGACACCCAATGCGTTGAAGCAACCTCCGTCGGCTGCAGGCGTTGAGCCGGGTACTCAGGCGATGTGAGGAGGTACACGTAGGGGCACAGCACCATAAGTGGAACTTTGCCCCATGAGGTTGTGACGACGCGCTGCGGGAGGTTTCCGACGGCCAACGCGTGCGCGTAGGACAAGTCAATGCCTACTTCTTCCATGGCCTCGCGCACGGCTGTCACTTCGTCGTCTGCGTCCTCCGGATCTCGCTTGCCGCCTGGTAGAGCAACATGTCCATTCCATTTGTCGCCCTCCCGTGTGGCACGCTTTATAAACAGCATCTCCGGATCGCCATGACGGACCCAATCTTGCGAAAAGAAAGCGTCGAGTATCGATTGGAAGGAAAGCTTATGGGTTGAGCTTGCACTGGAAGACTTCCGGCGCCCTGTACTCGGATGCTGTATAGGCGGTAACGCTGACGAGATCGCAGGCCAGTGTGAATAATTTGGTTGGATTCGGAGAATAATGGCTACAGAGGCTCGACGGGGAGTGTTGGGTGGGCAAGGTACTTCGGGATAGGGGTTGGCATTGAGTTCGAGGAGGACTGATTTGAGGTGGCTAATCAGGCTTTCCGTGCCTGTCTCCATTTTGAAGCTGTGCAATGATGGGTATGCACGAGAGACTGCTACATACGCCTTGTACGGATCTGAGATGATATACAACCGAGGCTCAGCTGTATAGACTAGTACAGATTAGTACAATATAGCAAGGACCCTGGGAAGTTGTAAAATGGCATTGGTGTCTTTGAATGAATAATGAGTTCTCTCCAAGCTCCAAACATGGAGTCCACTTTGCTAGGAGTTGGTTACTGAGTTGGAGGAGTTGGAGTTGTACTGTGTACTGGAGGGTAATAAGCCGGCGCGGCGCTACTATTCATCCGGGGTACGACATCAGGTTCGAGCCTTGCCGAAATCGGACGAGGGGCAGACTACGTGAAGGTGGGGCAGAAACTCTTCCAAAATTTAGAGCTCAATCAACACTCAAGGGTTTGCTACTCGTACTTGTTGATATATTTCCCTTCCCCTCTGCAAAATCTCACTCACAGATTCGCGTGAGCTGACACAAAATGGGCGGCCAGAAAACAGGTAAACAGCATGCCAATTGGACGGTAGAGGAGCTCTCATAACTGACTTTCCGCAGCTATCCTGTCTGTATATGACAAGACAGGTCTCCTGGACCTGGCAAAGGGCCTCCATGACCAAGGTGTCAGGCTTCTGGCCTCCGGCGGTACTGCGAAGATGATCCGACAAGCCAATTTTCCTGTCGAGGATGTGTCAGCCATTACGAAAGCTCCTGAAATGCTTGGTGGACGAGTGAAGACCCTCCACCCAGCCGTGCACGGCGGTATCCTCGCAAGAGACCTAGAATCGGACGAGTCGGACCTTTCCTCAAACAGCATCGATAAGATCGACTTTGTTGTGTGCAACCTGTATCCTTTCTCCGAGACGGTTGCCCGTATCAACGTTACTATACCCGAGGCTGTGGAGGAGATTGATATTGGCGGGGTGACGCTCCTACGCGCTGCGGCGAAGAACCACGCTCGTGTTACTATCATCAGCGACCCCAAGGACTACCATGATTTTCTTACTGAGTTGAAGAAGGATGGTGAGGTATCGGAGACGAGCAGGCAGAAGTATGCGCTCAAGGCGTTCGAACAGACTGCAGCTTATGATAACGCCATCTCTGGCTTCTTCCGCAAGAAGTACGCAGGCAATGGGGAGCAGCAGTTGCCTCTGCGATATGGCGCCAACCCCCATCAGAAGCCGGCGACCGTCTTCATACAAGAGAAGAACCTGCCCTTCAAAGTCCTCTGCGGTGCGCCGGGATATATCAATCTGCTCGATGCCCTTAATGCTTGGCCCTTGGTCCAGGAGCTTAGTAAAGCTCTGAACTATCCGGCTGCTGCCAGCTTCAAACATGTCTCTCCGGCAGGCGCCGCTATTGGTGTTCCTCTCAGCGAAGAGGAACGCAAGGTGTATATGGTTGATGACATTGAGGGCATTGAAAGTTCTGGCCTCGCCCAAGCGTATGCCCGGGCACGCGGTGCGGACCGCATGTCCAGCTTTGGCGACATGATCGCTCTCTCAGAAGAAGTAGACGTACGGTGCAGAAACATCGTCCCAAATTCGGTGATACTGACGTTCTTTAGGTGCCCACGGCGAAGATCATCAGCCGAGAAGTGTCTGACGGTGTCATCGCACCGGGCTATTCCGAGGAGGCCTTGAAGATCCTCCAACAGAAGAAGGGCGGGAAGTATCTGGTTCTGCAGATTGATCCGGAATATGTACCGGGGCCCGAGGAGACAAGGACAGTTTTCGGCATCACGCTACAACAACATCGCAATGATGCCAAGATTGTGCCTTCTGAGACCTTCAATACCATTATGGTACCTAAGGGCTCAGGTCCGCTTCCCGAATCCGCGCTCCGTGATTTGACAGTGGCAACGATCGCGCTCAAATACACTCAGTCAAACAGCGTATGCTATGCGCTCAACGGCCAGGTTATCGGTCTGGGTGCGGGTCAGCAATGTGAGCAACGTATCCATCTTAAGCTCCCATAACATACTAACATATCCAAGCGCGTATTCACTGCACTCGTCTTGCAGGCGACAAGGCCGACAACTGGTGGATGCGCTTCCACGAGCGTACGCTCAACCTCAAGTGGAAGAAGGGCACCAAGCGCCCGTCCAAGTCCAACGCCATCGACCTCCTCTGCAGTGGCCTGGTCCCTGACTCCGGCATTGAGCGCGAGGATTTCGAATCGCATTTCGAAGAGGGCCACGTGCCCCAGGTCTTCACGCCTGAGGAGCGCAAGGCCTGGCTTGCGAAATTGGAGGGTGTGGCTGTCAGCTCAGACGCCTTCTTCCCCTTCATTGATAACGTCTTCCGTGCTGCGCGGAGCGGAGCCAAGTATATTGCCGCGCCAACGGGTAGTCAGAACGATTCGGCCGTGTTTGAGACTGCGGAGAAGCTGGGGATTACGTTCGTGGAGCAGCATATCAGGTTGTTCCATCATTAGATTCTGGGAGTGGGAGCATTGTTTACCGGCCTCCCGTATGAGGAGGACTTAAAGTCATGGATATTGCATTAGGATTCTGGTGTCATTTGGTGGTTTATACCAAAAGCGGTCTCTCGGGGAGAGCGGGTTATAGAGATGTATGGAAGCCATTCAACATTCCGGTTTTCTGCCCAGAAAATACTATCATGAACAAGAGCGGGTGGTGCGTATTAGGCGTGAGTAGTTGCGCATGAACTGCAATATGTGGTGATGAAAGACAAGTTGATTGGAGTCTATCTTCAGCGTTGCCATATGGAAGGTTATAGTAAGTGCTACGTCTGGAAGTCCATATCCTCGGTTTCTGGGACAACCTATGACGCTATGCAGGTCACGATGTCGTTCCGTCTTTGTGCTAACTGTTTCCGCTTTCAGGTACTTGCCTCTCTACTAGTTTCCTCCGGTTAAGTCTAGAATATGCAATTGGGTTTTCTAGCTTCGCGCCGCCTTCGGGTTGTTCTGAGAGAAAGGCGTTGGGCCGCGAGTGGGTCCGAACATCAGGGTGCTGTTGTCTACCATGAACAACAATTCCAGCCAAACTATGGAGCGTTTTCCTTTCCGTAGATGGTATTGTACTGTGCCGAGGGACGATAATATACGTATGATGAGTGCTTATTTACTTATTTATTTATTTTTTGGCGTCATAATAAACGGGAATTGCTTGGTTCTAATAATTTCTGTGATGAGCGATCAGTTAAGTATAACTAGTCGCATGCTACTATATCTGTACAATTTACAAGTCTACTTTTAGCTACTATATACAGAATGTCACTTGCCTTCTCTATATGTGCTGACGAAACTTCCCCGTCGCACAAGTCGTGCGTATCTTCAGGCCATTGGATATCAGAATATTTGGCTTCACAATAGGACTGAACACAGAGAAACATTTCTCGATGAGAAGCAAAAACATTTAACATTCCTCTATAAACATAAACGAGCGGACATTCTAAGCAGAACGGTAAACAGATAACAAAAGGTCTTCCATCGACAGTCTAGACGTAAGTGAACCCTGTTTGATTTCCTCCCATGTGTGCTTGTTGTTGGATTGTCACCTCATAGTTCAAGCTTGGAACTGGCGTGCATGGGATCGCTTCTCGGGTGTAGGGGCGGTGCATTTTCCCTTGTTAAGGTCGGCCCTGTGAAAAACAGTTAGTCGAGGGTGCGCCACCGAGCGGCAGAAAAACCTACTGATATTCCCAATTCGTGTATTTCGATTTCCCACCATGCGTGCATCCGCTGATCTCCTTCGAAACCCCGCTCCTACATTCGGCGAGACCCATAGTCCTGAAGTTGCTACTGACAAGGTGGACCATGACTTCTAGCTTTCCTATATCCACGACTTCCAAGCATGTTCTGCGCCTCTCACCGGGTATGTAGTCACCGATAAGTCCGGAGCAGATGCTGTTGAGTTGTTCTTCCTTGAGCATTGATGTCTTAGCTGAATCGGTCCATGATGGTCCATCCCCATAGCAATCAGCCGAGGAGAACCCAGCGAGAGTGACAGCGGTCAAAGCGAGGAGATTGAAGGTGTACATTGTGGTATTCAGGTTCGCTGGCGTGAAAAATGGGTTGAAGGATATTGTTTCTGGGTCGGGTAAAGTAAGATTGAGTTGAAGGATAGGTTACAAGGAGCTGTTTGACTGACGGTTTGGTTGTCGGTTATGCAAGTTCGTGGATGGGCGGTTCCTAGTGTTATATATGTTGGAGAGTAATGGAAGGCTACGTGTTCATGTCTCGATATCAACAGCCCGCTAACCTTGAGGCGAAGAGAACAGCCTCCACTGAATCAGATGTATGACGTCTGATCAGAATCCTTTCTTCCTTGGGGAGGACATCGTCTGCTTCATCGAGGCTCTGAGGTCTCCCATCGTGCGAGAGCCTGCGGCGAGGTTGATCTGACCGAATGGCTGTTATGCACACGAGGCCGACCGAGCAGTTCAAGGTTTATTCTGGGAATCCTCGAATCCGTCTAGAAACCACCCCGAGGGAAGCGACCATGGTGGCTTCTGCAGTTCTTGTTGCAAGGCTCTAAGACCTCGCATCGCACGAGAGTCCGCGGCAAGGCTGCGCTGACTGAACGGCTGTTATGCGCATGGGGCTTTTGTAATCGCCAAATGCGTCTCGAGAACTTCCTTGAAGGAAGCCATCATTGTGGCTTCTCAGTCTGAGCTTGCTTTCCCCTGTTCTTTACAGATCACATAACTGGCAGTTTTTCGTATACATAGTCCATGCATTGCCCCAATAACATAGTATGTTCTTGCGAAGCGGATATATGATGGGGAGAATTCTGGAGCGGTACGCCCCAAACTGCTAGATTACAATGTGAAACACTGCGCCCGCGTTCAGGACCGACGGGTATGCATGTTATAGCCGTTCCGCGCTTAGTCTAGGCTTTTCTATCCGACGTTGGCACAAGGCCATAGCTCCCACATGATTTGAGGCTTGTGCACACGGGTTTACGAGTGCGTAGCGTAGGGTACAGTTTTTGTCCGCCTGCAAACATGACTTTTTTGAATAAATTCATTGTCCTATTACATACTGATAGGGCTAAGGGTTAGACTACGGTTCATGCTAAGGCCGCAGCAGTAGGTTTGCCCACCTTAATTGTAGAGGCAGGCATTAGACTAAGATCTATGGATAGACGGAAGCTGACTAGGCGCGGAACGGCTATAAAATGTATACCGTCCCGACCGCGGTAGACGCTCTGGGGCGGAAAGCCTAAGCACGCAACCACTATACAAAGTAACTTGTATACCCGCCCCACGATGATGTCATCCAGTAACCTCATTGATAATGGAGAAACAGTGCAAGTTGCGCAGCCACATATACAACAGGCCGTGCGATCAAGGCAAAGGCTAGAATCTAGCGCCGATATGATTGAGAGCCGTTCAATTTACTAACACTTGCCGTCTCGTGCGAGTTTAACAAAGAGCGAGGAGCAGGAGGCTCTGGTGATCTGATCACGAACACCGCCTGTGATAGCATTTTGCAGTCTCGTGCGAGTTTACCAAACAACGAGGGGCAAGAGGTCATGGTACCAGTAACACCACCGGTAACAACTCTCATCATACATTTGAATGCAAGACTCAGAGATGAAGGGCTCCAATAATCAACTCTGGTCACAGGCACCACTGAATATTCACGAATGTAGCCAATTGTCAATACGTGGATTGTAGGTCTCCAATGAGTACAATCTCAATTGCTACCTAACGACATCGAACCAAAAATTCCTGGACCTAATCATATGTCTATTCTGGATTGCCAGAATTCAAAACCCCAAAGTCCTCCCTCAACATGCTATCTTCAGGATCGCTACACTGCGCGTGCTGTATTGCATACTGCGCATCTTCATTCGTTATGTGATTGAAGTCTGGCACTAACGTCAGAGGATAATGCGGTAAAACAGTGGCGTAACTCACATCCGGAATCCCATCTTCCTCCGGCCTCCTGATAACATCGCGACCACTCCCAGTCCTGATTGACAGCTTTCAATCTACCGGCCTCGGCTTTCTGGTCCAAAGTCATGCACCATCCCCCACGGTACTCGATGCCATCAGCTACCCTCGTACGTCGTGTCTGGATAGGATCTTTGAAGTAAAACGCCATTTGGTGATCATTCGAACGGTCGTAGTAGTTTTCCTTCCAAACCGCTCCCAGAAGTTGAAAGCACTGTGCTGGCGTGCGAGACGGATCTTGGGTTTTCAACTCACTCACACGCGCCTCGAGGCTGCCCGGCAAGATCCAGGCCCCTGTCATTGAGCGCGTGGCATCTGGGCAAGCAATGTCCGCATCCTGGTAACCTTGGATATGAGCGGAAGTTTCCATCGCGTTAAAATGCAGTCAGGTGGGAGATTTCTGATTGGTTGAGAAGGATGCGAGTCGAATAGTTGATGAGCTTGATGAAACGGCAACTTCAGATGTATTGCTCTTCTTTTTGAGTACGTGTCCCGTTCCGCTAGTAGCCGCCCCAAAAGGACCTGTTGTGCGCAAGACAGCCTAGGCTGTGCTAAACGGAGCTGGCGGGATTGATAGCGGTGCAGATCCACGGAACGGATGAAGGGCGCAAAACCGTCCACGAGGGTCCCAAGAGGTTGTCCGTTCGAAAGCTTTCTATCTTTGGTGGGGCGAGCGAATGAGTCGACACAATCCGAGGGAGGCGAAATGATGGAAGAAACAAGTGTTTCTGGCCAAAACAGAAAGCCTCGCATTTTTTTTTGTCGTCAGTTCCCTGTGCGTCGCTGCAACTGATCTTACATGTGAACCGCCACTTCCGCAATGACGCGTCTTACACATGCCACAACCATCTCCAGCATGCCGTACGAGAAATTCCGCTACTTGGCTACCAGAACATCACAACGATTGCAAGGCGCAGCGTGTGTACTCCACCTTTTCACATCCGTCTGAACAACCACCGGCTACACAGGGGTATAGCTGATGCTGTCACTGGCCTGGCAGCGCCTAGTGTCCAGGTAAAACCAGCCTTGAAACGCAGTGCTCTAGGAGTATATTTAGACTGTGACCAATTGGATTACTTGAAATAGGTGATTTGACTTGGAGAAGAAGTACAAGGGGTTGTTCTGTCGGATGAGAGAAGGCGCAGTACCCTGTGGTCCGGAATGCAGCTTCACGTACTCCTGGAACGATCACCAACACAGTGACGCCTTACGATGTCTGTTCGCCCGGAAGGAGCAATCTGTGTAAGGCATTGAGAACTGTCCTATACTTAATTTGTTCTTGAGCCATTGGGAACATGTATTTAAGGTCTTCGATGTCACAGACTCGGAAATCCAAACCAACCTCGTTCATACCAGCCTCGTCTCAGACAACGCAAACTACTTCCAACCAGCAATCGATCTCATTCAATACCCAATTTTCCTCACATCATCTACCTGACAATGGCTCGATATATCTCGGCTCTCACCCTTCTTGCCATCGGCGCCCATGCAGTGGACGTTGAAAACTACGGATCTCGTAACTGTGGAGCCCAACAGATCGGTGGCTGTTACAATTTGGCGCCGAGTACATGTTGCCAATTTCGGGATAGCTATCGTACCCTAGAAGGCCTTGAACTACGAGTCGGCACTGGATCCGTCAAGTTCCGGAACCTTCAGCAATGCGACATCGGGTCGTGGTTTCGGCCTGCTAATGGTCGAGCTTGCGGGTCTGCGATGGCAACCGCTATTGGACCATTATCCTCGATCTGCTTGTCAGGAACCGGGACGCAGCAGCGCAGAGACGGAGCCATGTGGTATCTGGCCCTATTATAACCTACTTTCCACTCTAGACCAGTTCTAATGCGTACTAATAGGTACCATCTCGCTACTGACTTGTTCAATTGCCCGAAGCCAGGACTCAGAGAGGCCCAAGGCAATCCAGAATACAAAGTTGCTCTAGATCAATACCAACGGGGTCTGAACTTGGTATATGGCACTGATGTCAAATTCCCCGCCGGTTGGGGCGCAATCTCGAAGAGATCAGTTGCCGGTCGCACCACCTACGAAGTTTCGCATGAAGATCTGGAGAAACGAGCACCTGCATGCAACAATATCCAGTACGCGGACACGTATTTCTGGGTAGGCGATGAAAGCGTCTACGTCCTCAAAGGATCGAAAGAAGTCCACGATGCCTTGGCCCATTATGGAGGACTGGAAGAGCCTAAACCATCCTACGAAGAGTACATCAAGTCTCTAGGCGCCAAATTCTACAAGAACTGTAAGTGTTGCCTCCAACAACTAGCCAGAGGTATACGGCTGACTGTGATATCCTGCAGACCGTGACTATGAGAACCTCGGTCCCAATACTGAAAACCAGTGCCGTGTCAACAAGCGCGACTTCCCCGTCGTCGAAGCAGAGCCAGCTCCTCCTGGCGCCTCTGGCACTCCTATGGTTTTTGTCGACTAGGTTGACTGAGTAACTTCGCAAGTCCGAGGTTACGAGTATATCATTGTCATTTGCGTACAGCGCAACGACATCCGCTTTTCGATATGTTCTAGACTGGGTAGTCCGGCGTTTATTGTATCTCCGCGCGTTTTTTTGTTGAAGATTTTACGTAGAATTAGAGCCATAGAAATCCCGAACACATTCATTTTGCTTTGAATCCATGCCTTTGCGAAGCACAAGTAGTAAAGCGATGCCAGCTATGACCACGTTCCGCCTAGCTAGAAACTGTCTTTAAGAATCATGCTTCCTCTATGTCTCTAATAACCATGCCCGTATTCGACATAATGTGCTAAAAAGCCGTGCCACTCAAGCGGGAAGTGTTGCCGATCAGCTGGCCATGATGCTTCACTCTCTACTCATTTCGCGATACTGGGTCTCAAAAGGCCGGAGTTGGTAATGCATCAATGCTATCAAGATCCGTTGCTTGTAAGTGTGGGACACGATGTGAAATATGAAGTCAACATTGGAAATTGCGAAGTTAACGTGAATCGCAAATAGCTGACCGCATTTTTCCGTGCCCAGTCCAACTCTTCTTCTGCTGCAGGTGAAGTACAGGATAAAGATGAACGAAATAATGCCGTGTGACAAATACCCTGTAGAGGCATTCCCTAATATGTCACTCGCTATCCACATCTGTCCACATCAGGTGAGGAGATTGAGAAAGCTCCAGCTGAGGAACGCGTAAGTATACGTTTGTGGCGGTACAGAGGCTGTGCAGTGGCTGTGGCTGTGCATACGCTAGCGGGGTAGGAGGGGTCTTCTGTCTACCATGTATCAAGCTGTCTCAGGCCCCTTAATAGAACTGGACTTCTTCCCAAGCTGCCTTCTCTTCCTTTTCCTCACGCTCGAGCTACTTGACTTTCATTTAATCTTTGCGCCAAGAGCAACATTGCTGTGCCCTGAAGCATTCACCGCAAGCCGTTGAAACACAGGCCAGAACTCGCGATCGGCCCTATTAGGACGCAGCTCCCCTTAACTTCCCACCAACACTGCTCAACCTCCTTGAAAGCCCTCGGCGATTCCGGGCTTCTTTGAATTCTCTCCACGGTAAACATGGCGGCGCCGACTCCACCACAACCTCCCGTCTCTCCAGATTCTGGTCCTACGGACCCCAACCTGCCCAAGCTGCCTCCGGGCTGGATCGCTCAATGGGACAATACGTAGGGTTTGGCTGCTTCTACGACCTATTACTGTTCGCTAACCCGTATTCCAACAGGTCTAGAAGATATTACTGTACGTACATTTCTGAGCGGTCACTACGACTTCAGGGCTGATGATATCAGACGTCCAAATCAGTACTGGGAAGTCGCAATGGGAGCAGCCGACCGAAAACGACGGTGGTGCTTCACCGAAAGGAACCCCTGCGCAATCTACAGACCCGTATAACCCACCCGGGGACACTGAAGGGACGAGGGGCGTCGATGGTCCAACTGGCTCTCGCGCTGGTGGCCTTGGTGTACGCGCTTCCCTCAACGACGGAAGAGCACAGTCCCGCTGACAACCATCTCTAGGGCTTCGCGTTGAATGCGCTCACAGGCGGTGGAAAACAGTCGCATGGCAGCCACGGAGGGGGAGGCAACCTAGTCGGCCAACTCGCTGGCTCATTTCTCGGAGGGGGGAAGCACTCAAACAGTGGCGGACATGGTAGCAGTGGGCACGGCAGCGGAAACCTTGTCGGCCAGATAGCCGGAGCCGTATTGGGCGGCGGCAAGCATGGTCATGGAAACCAGCAGCAGTCTGGCCACGGTTCAAGTCAAGCCGGAGGGATTGGTGGCTTGATTGGAAACGTGCTTGGAGGCGGTTCGGTACGTACTTGTGTTGATAAGTGACGAAAGGCATCTAACGACCCGTGTTATAGCACAAACCTTCCAGCGACTATGGATACAACCACAATGCGTCCACTTCCTCAGGCGGAACATACACAGGCAGCGCACCTCCCACCGCATACCAGCCGTCCGGCGGTCAGCACAGTTACTCCTCGCCGGCCCCTCAGTCAGGTTCATACCCGCAACAACAGCAAGGCTATCCTCCCCATCAACAACAGCAACAACACTCACCCTACCCTTCCCAGCAACAACAGCAGCACTCTCCCTACCCTCCCCAGCAACACCAACAGCAATATGACCAGTATGGCGCTCCGCCACCAGGCCAATACCAAGGAAACGCTGGCTATGGTCAACAAGCTGGCTACGGCGGCCCCAGTCCTCACCCGCCGAACCAGTATGGTGGTAATCCTCCTTACGGAGGTGCGCCCCCTCACACTGGAGGTGGCTATGGCCAACAACCTCCTCCGCCACACCAGCAATACGGTGGCCCACCGCCTCCGGGTCAAGGAGGTCCTGGAGGATATGGATATGGACAAGGGCAAGGACATGCAGGCGGACCACAGCAGCCCGGATGGTAACCCACTGTTGAGGGAGATGTGGGCTTGGGATATATATACGTGTCGGGCGGGTGTCGGACATAGAAACGAGTAGTTGGCTTCGGGAGCGTGTGAACAGCTAACGGGCTCTCTCTTGCAAACTTGATCGATTTATTAGTACTTGCATGCTTGATCTTGTTTATTAATCCTCTCAGTCATGAGTTTAGATTTAGTCGAACATATTCTTTTTTATTATACTCTCGCATATGCGATTACGAAACCGTCAAGAGATATTCCGCTTTCCAACTAGCCACCTTCACGCGGCTTATATAAAGCTGGGTAGAAGCGAGTGATGTATTACTACAGATACTTTTGGAGCTGTGAGCATAAAGTCTAAAACGTCAAGGCGAGACCCCGAGCCACTCCACTGAGACGATCCAGAACACCGATATCCGCTACCGCCCAACATCATCCCCATGGTTGATGCAACTAAGTTTAACCTTGTAAACCGACAACCCGTCTTGATTGTACGAAAGCTCGCCAAGTATAAACCATAAGGATGCGGGAACCGTAAAACGATGACCATCTTCTTTTGAAAGGGAGCCCGCGAAAAAACAAACCATAAGGTTTCAGACACTGTAAACCGATTACCGTCTTGATGTGAAGGAAAGTCCGCCAGATATAACACCAGTATAAGGATTGAGAAGCCGTAGAATCGCAACCGCCAGTATCCGAATGACCTTCACGGTCGAGGTATATCCCATATGAACGCACTCGATATCCGCCCATGTATCCCAAACGCCGAGCCAGAAGGGATGTCGCAAAGATCATCTTCCCAAACATCAAAGGTAAACTCACAATAACACAATCGAATGGGATGAACATAATCCCATAAGCCAAGCTCTTTTACCACGCCAAACCCTCATCCTCTTCCTCATCCACTCCATTCCACTCCTCATCCTCCTCGCTATTATCATCGTCCAGGAAATCCTCTTCATCGAAAATCTGCTCCTGGGGTCGCGAATTGTCAATCTTGAATTCGACCTTGTGACACTTGCCTTGAACGAACTTGATAAGGGGCTCGGCATCTTCCTTGTCGGGTTCGTCAGACGTGTGCTCGCTAGAGCTGTCGGTCTCCGTGTAGCGGCCTGGGGAGCGACGGGTACGATTGCGCAGGCGCTTGGAACTCCATCTCTCGGAGCGGGTCGCTGTGCGGGAGGCGGCGGTGGAGTGCTCGTCGCTGGAGGTTGTCAGGGAATCATGTCCCCGCACGTCGACAGCGTTGTCCCGGAACGGATCCTGTTGAGACTCTTTCCATTGAGAGTATGCATCCAGCGACACGAGATGCGGGCTAGGAGGCTCCCACTTCCGCTTGAACACCTTCTCAAACGCGTGTGTCCACTTCTTCCGGAATTCGGCACGCTCTCTCCATTCGGTGTCTACAATGGCGGTGATCGTGAGCTCTTGCAGATGCGGCAAATCTGGGGCCGAGTCGATGAGGGACTGGAAGAACGCGACAGCCGCAACCGGGCTCCAGTTTCGAAGGAACTGCATGTCGAGGATCCTAAGTGTAGATGGCCATGTTGGGACTGCGCCCACGGTGAGAAGTTCATCGTAGAGGGGCTCATTGCTTGTGGAGGTAGCAAGCGTGTTGTAGAAGTGGGTGTCAACTTGGAGCACTTCCAGACAGGGTGCCCAAATCTTAAGGCCGACCAACCAGTCCAGATCCAGCATCTGGTTGTGATTCAGCGTCAACGTCTTCAGGTGCCTTCCATGGGAGATTAGATACGCTTCTAAGGCTTGTGAATTGAGTGCTCCGCAGTTTACGATTTTCAGGTTAACCAAGCTGTCGGGCAACAGCGGAAGTAGCCGTGCGTTAACCGCGGTACAAGACTCGAACGTGATGGATTCCAGATATGGGAGTACAGCAAGAGAGGAGGCGATGAGCTCTTCGGTTCGGGAATTCTTATCCTCGAGCTCGCTGTTTCCAGGTGGGCGCTCATCAGCTTGAAACTTGCGCAGCGTGATGTCCCTTAGAGTCCTCATCGCGCGATTGCCATGGACGTCTTTCATCCAAAGTGGACCTCTGGCGCAATAGGTGCTGTTCCAGGACCAACTGCGTAACCGCATCTCGGCCTGTTCCATGGCAGTGAAGAGTGTATCCGGGTAGAACCATCGACGCATGCGCGCCTTGCCTTCTCGATAGGGCGGCCTATCGCTAGGGTCGAAGAAGTCGATTTCCTTCACCGCTCTAAGGGACGATACAAGGGGAGAAAGGTACGCGCTCAACGGCGAGATCCTGGTGCGATCGATCTCCAGCCGCCTGACCTGGTGAGCATAATTCATCCAGGTATCAGTTTGGGGATCTGTGAGACGCTGAATAAGTCTCGCGTTCGGTCGGCATCTTTTGTCGAGAATTGGAGGAACTCGGTAAAGAGCTGTAAGGGCCGGTTTCGACCAGGTCCTGCAGACCAGGGCTGTTCTCGCGAGCCATGCTACGGACGAGGTTGGCGCGGAGTTTTCGTCCAGGAGAGGTTCAGCTGCGTATGTCAAAATGTCCACAACGATGTCGTAATCGAGGCGCAGCCAGTCTGGTATCTCCCTATCACCATTCATGGCGCTGGAGGGCTGAGTTGATGAGCGGGTGACTTGGGAATGGTTGGCCTGACTGGATTGCCCGTTGAGGGACTTGTGGAGCGCCTCATTATATGGATGCCACTGATGGGGCCCCGCGAGGACTTCCGAGTGCATAGCTAGCAGATTCTTATCCCTCGGGGAGGAAGAAAGCATGCGCGCCATGGGCTCGTCCCGAGAGTGGGGTGGCCGTATGATTTCATCTTCTGGACTCTCGTCCCTCTCCAATATCATCTTCCGCCTCTTGGAAGCCCGCTGTGGCAGAGGCCTATAAGAAGAGGTCGACTCTTGAGGAAGCACCACATGTCGCGTCTTTGTGCGCTTCCACGAACCGAAACCCGCGGGCGATCGCCGATCGCTCCGTTTTGATATGACTTCTTTTTCTGAATCTTCGTCATTCTCTGTACTGGACTCCCGATATGATCTTTTTCGCTTCGTCCGGAGCTGTCGAGTCGAGGGCGCAACCGTGGTGCCCAAGCCTTGAGATGACACAGCATGTCGTGTCTGTCTGAGCGAAGGTTGCTTGGGGTTGGATGATCGTGCTGTTGATTTCCTGGTCGGCTGATTCTTGTTGATCCTGGATGAGTTCGTGTCAGAATCGTCAGAGGAGCCTTCGTCGGAGCTAGACTCCTTGTAGCTGATGGGCTTCACGGGTCTTCGAGGTCGCGACAACGCCATGGCTGCGAGTGATGGAAGGTTGCAATGTCAAAGGCGAAGGTTGGGGTATGTCTGAGCCGGGGGAAGGTTGTGAGAGTTTCAGGATCTGGGGAGCGAAGGGCGATTCCAGGGAGCGGCAGCAGTCTCGGACCAACGTGCATGTACATTGTGTGAAGGGCCGACAGAGCGACGCGGCGAAAATGTCCGCTTCCTAAGCGTCGATGAGGTCGAAGGGACACGGACCACTCCGATCGTCATGCATGTGCACCCCACCTCCCCCACGCACATGCACCTTGGCAGCTCAAGCTTACCGTAAGCCAACATTCACGTGAAAGCACTCCCAATTGCTTCTGCATCTTTTAGCTCGGGGCTGAACATGTAGCTTCAATCCTCTGGATGCGATGAAAGGATAATGAACAGTCAAGTAACTTGCTCAGGTCCAGACGCCAAACCGGATCAGGTGATCTGGCGTGCTTTTCGCGACAACCAACCTTGCCTAGACAGGCAATTCAACCCTTGGCACCTGCTAGCAAGATCCTCAAACGGACGTGAAATGAAAACGGAAACCAGACCACTCCTGCTAAGTTCTGGGGAGCTATATGCTCTTCAGGAGGTTTTTCTCTGAGTTACCTCGGTCAACACTGGTATCCCCGACCTTACCGCTCCTTCCACTCTTCTAAGGACTCTTTGCTCGGAACTTGGAGCTTTTGGATTTCTATCCTCACAATTACCCATGCACAGCCGGACTAGAAAGGTTGAACCGGGCTCAAAGCAACCTCATTACATTGTTACAACTGAAGGTCACTCATCCTGCAAACTGGTGACCTCCTTCCTCAGGCACCCACACGCAAGCCCACGACTATGATCCAGGGTATTGGTTAGTATTTTCCTCGAATCTGAAGACTAAACTCCAGCACATCAACATAGGACAAAATTGACCGCAACTGGCAGACGCTCGAGTATGGTCACCAGATGCAAGTCAAACGCATTTCGTGATACTTCAAAGGATAGGAAATTCGTTGGGAAGCACGACGGCCCGCGTGCAGTATGCAGGAACCCCACTTTTCTGACCAGGAACCAACATCGAGCTTTACAGCTGCATCAGGAAGAGTTAGAGAAAGGGCGGCCTAGTACACAAGCGGTGCAACATCGAATTGGCCGCTTATGGAGGGGAAACCTGCTGTGCAGTCTCGAAGACATAGCGCGCTATCACAAAGCCAGCACCTTTCAAGTTATTGTCAAGACGATCCAGCCGCTAAATAAGAGTGCTTCTCTTGGAAAGCGGAACCACGAGCCAATTTTGCCACGACCACTTCTATTCTACGGCAATCTCAAAATCCGGCTGGAGATATGGCAGATCGGTGCTGCAACCCCTGCTCATCGACGACCTCAAACGGTCGTATCAATAACCCAATCAGCGTCTATCAAAGGTACAACACCTAGTAATGGGAAACCAGCCTTAGTAAACGCTGCACCTTTCGTCTTTACGGAATCGGACTTCCAATCGCGGATTACACGGGTAGATCCTATGTGTCGATATACTTTGAGGATCGACATACTTTTCGAGGATGACTTGACCGCTGAAGAAATCCAGACGGCTTTTGGAGAGATGGGTGCCTCTACTCGGCCTATATCGGGATGGAGCGCGTCGTATGACGATATTCTCGTATGTCCGAAAGACGGGATAATATTACCCTTGCGCGCCACGTGCGGAGTAGACCTCGAAGAAGAAGCAGACTCCAAGCAAAGCTACACCGCGGAAGCGTTGGGCTTGGAAATAATGATGGGCTATACTCGGCCCAAAGCATGCTCACCCCTCGCTTTAGCAAACCAGAGGAGGAAACGTGTAGAACGAGGTTCGCACAACGACCCCAGAAAGACCTTGGGCAAGTCCGAGATTGGGAAGATTGTATATCAAAGACCGCGTTGTCACCACTGTGGAACTACATGGTTTGACTACAATTCTCTCCGGATCCACTTGCACACCTCTCACGGGTACTTCGATGCGAAGTTCCAGAGGAGGGGTGGATTCAGCGCATTGCCTGCAGTACCCGACGGGTTTCAGGCTCGCCAACCGTCAACAAAGTTTGGAGAGTTGCTCGAGGAGGGGGAGAACGATATTCCACAAGAGGAAGAGTTCATCGTAGTGGCACCCACACGCCCCTTCAACCGCCGAGCTTACCTGGAAGAGGGAGACGACTCATGGCTCAGGGAGGCGATTCGATTCTCTTCGTTATCAAAACCTCCAATTGCATTACCCCAATCAGCAACCACAACCAGAGACACTACTCGCGAACTGGAAGTTATCACTAGCGACCCGGCTTGCTCGAGTGTAACTACGCCGGGTAGTGGACGAGTGACTGATACGATGGCCATGGATGTAGATGAGACTTCTGCGGCCGCTATAACAGTTGTCGGCAAAATGTCCCGCGTTGAAGAAGGGGGTGTGGAAATGAAAAACATGACGGCCGTCTCTGCCCAGAAACCTGCAAAACAACGCGTACCAAGCTCCCTACACCCGTCCACAAAGCCGGTCTCCCTCAGAACACCAACGCGTCCTACAGCACCCCATATCTCCAGCAACCCCAATTCGATAATAGGCGGAGGCTCCACAACAGTCACCTTCACCCTCGACCAACTCTCCATCGCCGAAACCACCGACATCGAGACCGTAACCCCAACATCCCAATCCACCAACCCATCGACTTCACAAGGACCCAACAACCGCATCCCCTTAGAACGGAACCGCAGGAAACCCCACCGCATCCTCACCGTCCCACACTCCTCAACAACCTTCTTCCACCCGCTAACCTCGCGGCCCCTCATCCCAGGTGAACCCCTGCCCCCGGACGACAACGACGAAGATGAAAACGACATGCCCATCGTCGACATGCAAAGCATCCACCGCATCCAGAGCAACCCGCGCCTCACAGACGCGCAGAAGGCGTTCCTGACGCTGTATAATCCGTTCATGAGGCGCGAGCGCGTGGGCGGTGCGTGCCATTTACCCGGTGCGATGGTGCAGTTTGCGAGGTGGATGGTTGCGAAGGGGGTGTTTGGGAGTGGGGGGAGGGGAGAAGAGGTGTGGAGCGAGTTTAGGAAGCTGTTGGGGGAGTTTTGTGAAGCGGGATTACTGGGGAAGGAGGTTGTAGGGGAGTGTGAGGGAGTTGTTTTGGAGGCGTTGGGGGGAAGAGAGAACTAAGATTTAACGACATATCCATAAATATCTACACAACCTACATATCAATAGAATCGATATAACAATTTATAACAGTAGCAAAAAAAATCCCCTCTTATTCCCCAGAAGTATCCCACAATCTGCACTTCGACCAAGATGCATGCGTACAGTAGTATGATTATAACAGGGGACTTCTAGATTTTCTACAAGGAAAGTGAAAAAGGAAACACTCCCCTTTCAAACATCTCAGCTCTACGCACAAATCCATAACGACACCAATCACCAAATCCAATTGTCATCTTCATCGTCACCTAACCCCGTACCCGTACCGCATAACCCAACCCAATATCCCAAACCCCATAGCCGCCCACACCCCTACCCCTACCCACACCCATACATGCAATCCCCTACTCGATCCCTACCCGCCAAGACCCAGGCCAGCGTCCTCTCATCCGGGCGCGTGGAAAAAAGAAGCTGGTACTATAGAATAGATTTGCTATTATCCGTTATAAACTTATACCTACCTGGACGGTAGATCTATTGTACATACATGTCTATAATGTGCGATAAATATAGATCCGAGCGGGACAAGCGTCGATCATGATCAGCATAGCCAGCAGTGTTATATGAGGGTGTATGGGTTTTGCGGAATTCCACATCGACATGTCCGTTCCTGCAATCGCAGGTGATGGGGAACAACTCGCAAAGCAAAAACTAAGTAGGCTTATCTTCTTGATCCTCCTCCTCTCAGTTCTCAGTGAAACCCACTGCAAACACCCATTTTCCAAACCCTCTCTTCTCTTAACCGATCCCATGCACCTAAACGCCCTCTCATCCCTGCCCTTTTCCAAACCCTCCTCTTTACCCGTATGTACCCCGTTCGGTATCAAATCAGATTATCGGGCCCAACCAAACTCCTTAACTTACATCCCTGTCCGCTTCCCATCTCCAGCTGCATCTGCAACATCTGCAGCAAGTCTAACCCAAAACCGCACACGTACATGCATCTGCATCTGCAGTAGCAGCAAGTCGAACAAGTTACTCTTTTCGATCAGAAAAGGTGCTACCTACTTGGTGGATAAGCCGCAAGCGCCCAGACTAAGGATGCAGTGGCGATCGGTGCATTGTCTCGCCGCTATTCTTTCCTCTCCCCTTCGTACCAACTAAAAAGTTATAGCGGACCTTGGGATACAGTCAGATCACCTGGGATGATCGCTTCGATCGGGGACCTCGTTTCTCGCGGCGCTTAAGTGCATATTGTATGTCTGCTAATCAGTCAATCATGCTCGCTAGGATACACTAGAACCATGAGCGGCTCGGAGTCTTGGACCGGGGCACTCATCCGATGCACTGCGATAACAGAGGTCATGTGTTCCGGCCCCGCTGGTCATGGTGGTGCAGAGTGGCACGAAAAGCTGAAACGCGCGAACCGGAGCCACTTCCTGTGCTCCCGCGAAACCTAGTTCTGCCGTTGTGTTTCTCAGACAGACTTCTCCGACTTCCAGGAGGACCGTCTTGCAGCCTCTGCATCACAGGTGAACCTATGGTGCCCTGCAGAGCCCTGGGTTGGCTAACAGGCCTCGCTGAGAGAATAGGGAGCCAATGGACTTTCCAGACTGGATCGGGATTGGAGCCGTAATCGGTCTCTACTATAGATACTCTGCTAAGCGTACTTTTGTACAAGGCCGTTGCAACGAGATAAAATCCAAGACGAACTGAGAAGCAAAAACATTGACGGAAAAACATGACCAGAAATGACAAACCGCTATTGTACATGCGCGCATGATAGCAAAGGTCCACTCCAGACTATGGGAAGCAATGTCCTGAGTCATAAAAGCATCGAAATAGTAAGACATTAGTTAGTTTGCTCGTCACATCCTGAACGTCATGCGGAGCGAGACGTCGAAAGGGAAGAGGAAGCTTTTGCAAGGAAATGCTGAGAGCGAGCGTCAAGGATATTTTGACTCCTGAAGACGGACGAGAGGAAAGAAGAGAGCTCACAACATTAAATGTCGGTGCGCATGCCATGCGTCAAAGGTTCTGCAGAGCAGGGCTGCAGACTCCGTAAAGGAATCATGGCGTAAGAAAAGGTCATCATGACTGCGTGAAAGAGTTCCATCCAAACGCTTTTGTAAAAGACAATTCCGCCGTTCGTGCTTTTAGAGGCGCAAGGAAAACGCCTAAATGCCGACCGTGTCTTTAAACGAGTGAGGTGTAGTGGTACGGGCCTGGGTGTCCTCGACGCCCTCCATTCGAGCATCACGATCTCGAGAGTCAGCCGAAGGTAACGGAGCGGATATGGGCGTAAAGGATGAATACGCTTGACTTCGACTTTGGTCTCCGGTTCCTAAGCTGTACGCCGAAGGTGACTGCATTTCGTTCCGTTCCCTTGACGGCTTCTCCAGCTCCAGAGGTGTAGGTTTGCCCCTCCTTTTCTTCCCCGAAGACGTGTCCGACGACTGATCAACGGGCGGTTGTTGCGGGGTTACGGTGCCCTGGGCCGGGAGAGGAGCTGGCGCAACAGGAGGAGTCGCTATGGACGCTGGCGGTTCCGCTGCAGGTGGAGGGGGCTCTGTTGGGTACACGGGCGGTCTGCCTTTCCGTGGCGGTGGATAGGACTCGCCACGTGCGGCAGCCGCCTGAGCCCTTGCCTGAGACTCTGCCTTTGTCGGGCGCCCACGCTTCTTCTTGTTCACCGGCTCCCCCGCCGTCATCTGTGCAGGGAGTATTGGAGGGGCACCCATGTACAGACCGCCATACATGCTCGTGGGTCGTGGTTGGATCATGCGGGCGCCTATGGACGTCGTCGTGGTCTCTGGCTGGAGGGGGCGCTCCTGGGGAAGCGGGCGCTTCCTCGACATATCAGAGGGCAGCGCTGGAGGGGCGGGCAATTGACGCGGTTGTCTGTAGTCCGAGTGAGGATAGGTGGCATTCATCTCGTCATAGACCATCTGACATGACCGGAGGGGACGACCTATGCGATTGGCATGTCAGTGGCAAGCGCTGCATGAAGGTGTCGAGAAGTGAGGGTAGTGGGTGGTACGAGGGAAGAGGAACAGGATAGGGAGATACACGAAGGAGGCACGTACCGAGCGGCAGAGGACAGTCGCTCCATCTGGGCTGGACACCGGTGTCGCGTATGATGTTGAGCAGGGCGTGAGAGGACAATGAGGACTTCAATATCTCGGCGAGTAGGTAACGCTGCAAGGCGAGTACAATCAGCTCAGGTTCTAGCTGGGGGTAGAATTGGGCGAGGAGAATATGGGGTAGGGGAGGCAGCGGCATGTCGCGGCACGAACCTTTTCGTGCTCTGCCCACGGTGGCTCCCGGGCAGGCTCCATGTCGTGTCTCGTAAAGAGGCACAGTGGGGGGAGGAGGCTAGAAAAGGACTTGGGACGAAACGGCGATGAAGGGAAGCAGGCAAACGGAGCAATGAACGATGACGAGGCCGTAAAGTAATTGCAGAAGCGCGCGCGAAGGCGAACCCCCCGCACTATAGGGCGGGCGGCTAGGAGGGGGAAGGGGAGCAAACGAGGGTGAGAAAAGGGAAGGGTAACGAGTGGAACAAGGAGAGGCGCATCAGGAGCAGGGTGAAGGGACACGACTGCTCATGCCAGCGCAGGCAGAGGGAGAGGAGCGATTATGAGAGGCTCTCCATGAGGCTGGACTGCGGACGGGGAGGGTTGGAGGTGGGGGAGATGCGGCGGTAGTGGTGATGAGGAGGGAGTGGAGGAGGAGGAAGAGTTGAGAGTCGTAGGAGAGAGTTGGTGAGGGTGAGGGTGGGTGTGTGGGTGGCCGGGAGTGGTGGGAGAGGCGGACGGGGAAGGCGCTCCAAATTGACCGGGATGCAGGCGGTAGGGGCTGTCTTTTCGCGCGCGCGGTCCACCATTCCCAGCAGAAAGTGCGTCAGTCAACTCTTCTCCCAGAAGCAGTGAGCAGTGAGCGGTCCCAGCATGGCTCGGATGGAGGCCTCTGTTATTGTAGCTCTCCCCAAAAGGGCCACGGGAAAGATTTGTCGAGGGTCAATTGTCCTCTCAGCGAACGCGTTCCCGGTCGTTTTTGCATCCTGCATGGTATCAGCTCTTCAGAATCGCAGTGTGGCGTCCTCAAGCCGTTTGTCCGCGCCGTGGTGCCAATTATTACTAACGTCTTCATCCGTGATGCTGCCGGAACGAGTAATTGCTGGCTTCATCTTCTTCTTCATCTTCGCGCCGCGTCGCTGATCCGCCGATGGGAGGCTCGGATTGACTGACCGGGGGCTGTTTCGCGCCAAACAGCCAGGGACGAGGTTCCACGGGTTGCGGGGCCTGCCAAGCCTCTCCAGCCGCGGGATGGCGCAACGACGAGGGATCTTCTGAGACGAACCCCCGCTGCCCAATCACTGCCCTCACCACCACTACCCTTCCGCTACCCCCTCTGTCTCACCACTCGAACCTCTTCGCTTCACCTCGTCGCTTTCCTCAGATCCTATACCAGATCGTCCGCCTCAGGTGTGCAGCATGTCCCTTCGTTCCATGGACCGGAGCTGGTTCCTCCGTTCAGCGTCTCGATTCGCCGTCGTGCCCATAAACCACATCGTTTCTCTCCCGCCTTGAATCCAGTTCGACCTGGGCGCTTACACAACGCTCGAGAAGCGAGAAAGTGCAAAAGGCAGCAGTTTCTCGTGCTTGTCGACTTGCCATAAAACTTCTTCAGAAGCGGGATTCTATACGCGTTTATATACCAGCACCAATCCATGGGCCTCACCCTGCATGCCACGTAGCCCACCCACACTGGCCTTCTCCCTCCACTAACCACGTGTCCCACGCTATCGTGCATCCACACGCTCCAGCATCGCCGCCACGGGTCTCCATTGCCATTCCGCGGATTCTGTTCATGGCGGATACCTCTGAAGCCGATTATGCCATCTTCTTCTTCCTTTGTCGAAGAAATGGCTGATTGTCTGTCATCATCGCACACAGTCCAAGGCTCGGGTATGTCCATTGCAATTACCGTATTGCGCACTGCTAAGATTTTGAAAGGTTCAACGCCTTAGTTACTCCTTGAACAGTACTTGGGCCTAACTAGGTACCATTGCCTCCACCGGCATCACTACATGTGATTTCCGAAGTCATAAACACACTTCTTGGCTTACGTCTCTGCTCTCGAAATGAATCTAGCTCCTAGTCTGGCCGACATCGATCGCTCAACCAATCTAACAGAGAGCAGAGATAATGATATCTCCGTTTACTGGTCCCCACTTGACAATATAACGACATTGCCCCGGCTATGGATTCCCTCATCCTTTTCAGCTCTACTGCTACCGCAGTTTACCTGGACCCTCATATGGTAGTCGACCAACGGCGTCCAGTAACAAGTCTCCGGAGAACTCCGACCCCTCGTCCCCACAAATGCGCTACGACTAGTTGTTCGTTGCGGCTCGCGCATACGTCAAATTATCGATTTGAACTGTTAGAGGGTCAGTCAAGCGCCGTGCACACGCACCTGGGCACGGTTGTGAACCGCCAATGTCTGACCTAGAGCTTGTAGATCTGGAGGCTGGAGAGGGTCGAGGGAGGACTGCAACATTAGCACCGCCGTCAAGCGCAAGCAAAAGACAGGATACGAACGGCAACGCGTCTAACGAGAAGTCTGCTAGCAACAAGGACCCTCTCACTATCTGCGAGGAGGCACGCTATGAATACACCTGTCATGAAAAGAGCAAAGCCGAAAGTACGAACCTGCAAAAGATCAAACAGGCCATCGCGGCTTTCTTTGGACGTGCCCGCAAGGCGAGGCTGACACCTCCCATGTATCGATATCATGAGGATATTGCCGTCAAGGAGCTGGAAGGGAAGTTGTTCAAGATTCTAGCCAACGAATGTATGGAACAGCGATACGATGACAACGTCGACGCCAGGTTTGGATTCGTTAACTTCCTATCGTTTGGGAGACTACACCATATGAATCTGCACTATTTCGAAGTTGAGCTGGCATGCGAACTTGCCGATATCGTAAAGAAGAAGGATACAGATAGAGACCAGCTGCTGCGGATCAGGACCAAGCTACGAGGATACAGTAAGAATTGACCGTTTGCTGAAGACTCTTCTGTTGGGATACCAAATACTAATGGAAGAGAGCAGGCGCAGCTATTGAAGACTACAAGCGCGTGCTGAAACACTGGCAGCAGCCTTTCCGAGGGGAGCTCACAGCCTACCACAAGCACATCCTTCCTCAAGACTTTAGGGACCTCATCAAAGACAATCACCGCTGTAGCTGGGATAATGCCTACATTCCACTTAGATCGAATAACCCATGGGCGGCCAACCTCTTCGGCAGAGTCATGGCAGCAATCTTCGGGGGAGTGGCGCTCATCGCACCCGTGCTTGTCATGACCGTACCTGATGCTCCCGTCAAGCAGTTGGTCACTACCTCTATCGCAGTTGTGATAGCTGCAATTGGGCTCGCGTTGGTGTCGCAGGGTTCATGGCGAGACATTCTAGGCATTACGGCTGCGTATGCGGCTGTTCTCGTTGTTTTTGTTGGGACTGGCACATCGCGACTGACCAGCAGGGTGGGTGAGCAACTCGGAGAACATGGTTAGGAGTTGCATTGTATTTTCCTAAGCACACGGCGCGTGAGGATCTCTCCTAATGTTCAATTGGCATTATTAGAGCATTGTACAGTTCGTTGTGCAGAGTGAACCATTTTTATGCAACATTGTTACACACTCCGTCCTAGGCGACTATCCGAATCTTGGGTACATAGATTCGTCTACATTTCGTGCAGAGACATATATCTGCATGAAAATAGTATGAATTCGCTACGATATCTGCGCTTAAATTCTGCGTAAAAATAGACAACACGGGAATTGCAATTTATTTGCAGAGTTCATTTATTTAAGCCTTGGCGCTTCACATAGTTCCAAGGTTGAGGACGGGTGCACCGGACTCTGCCTCCATACGTCCATCGCGTGTCGAGCGCGGATACAATCACCACATCTCCACATAGCGCTGCTGGATCGGAACGCCGCTCCGGAGATGATTCCATGCTGATCTCACGATCTGTCAACGACTACCTAGGTCGTGTGAGAGCGGCATTCATTGCGCATATCTGTTGGCAGGGTCGAGGCTTTGCAATCGTTGGACATGTCTGATACTTCTCCACTTGCTAGTAACCAGGTGCGTGGTTCGCACTTGCAAGATTCTGACAATCTCCCACGTGGAGTTGGTTGTCTGCGACCAGTCACCAATGATCAGATAGACGGGGCGACTTGTGCGACTCGAGGAACGATTGGGAGACGTGACGGCTATCTACCATGGTTCAAGCCCACACCAATCGCTTGTTTGCTGTCTCATTTGCTGCAATCGAGCATGTCTCCCTAGGTACACGCAAAGCCGCAGGAAGGGTCCTTTTTCAATTTTCTACCCAACTACGGTTTCCATAAGCGGATAACCATCGATCGAGCCCTCGGACCAATGAGGTTGCGAGCGCTCTCTACCTTTGCCCAATTGCGAGGAACGACGCAGAGGCAGAGATACGACGCCATCAGCACTCATATCGGATGAAAACGCAATACAGATATGGGGTTTTCCGCATTCCAGTCAGTCGCCCTGAGTTTCAGAATCCGCGTATATAAATCATTTTTTTATGTATGCGAAAGAAATATGTGTTTGTATCTACATGGGAGAATGCAGTTCACATGTCTACTGTGAGCAGCCAATGTCGCGATCGCCCAAGTACTGCAAAAGGACAAGACAGCTAACTCATGTCAAAACAGTCGTACTTCGCCAAATAGACTCGATTTCATTCTGTGCGGAGAATCCACTCCCTCCTCTGGACGTCCTTCAGAGACAAGTGGGAGCAGCGGAGATGCCAAGCCATCCCCCGGAGCCGAAACGAGATGGCTGCCGGAACCCGCCCAAGGTTCATCGACACCCGTGAGCCTTCGCGCAAGGACAAACGAACCGCGAAGGTACTCACCGAGCTGAGCAGTCGATTACATCCAGCGGCAGCTCTCTGCTCTTCCAAAGGAGAACCCCTTTCACACGCGCCGCCCCTCGGCCAGCACAACCCTCCCATCCAGCAACGAATCCCTTCAATTGTTCTCCCGCGTCTCCTCCAACCGCTCCCCCGACGAAACGGATGCCCACCGCATGCCCGCCGTTCCCTTCTCACAGCGCTCGCGTTCGCATGCAGTTCGATTCTCTTTTCCCGCCTTCGCGATATAGTCAAGAGTAGGATACTAGTGTTGTACTTTTGGGAGAGTGCGCGATCAGACGACCTTGGCTCTGCGGAGACGTTTTGGGGCCTTAGGCGGAATCACCCACGAAATCTGCGACGCTGGCTTTCTCTCATAGCGTCCGTAGCCGCTGCGCTCCTTCTTCCACACTCGAGGTTATCGTCTTTCATTGGGAAAGCGCGGGCATGGTTGTTGCTGCGCTGTAGGAACCGGCTCATCGCTTAGCGTCCCTCGCACTCGAACGCCTCGTCTCCCTGAACCTCCCACAACCACAACCCGGAGGCCCGCTCCATTCACCTGCCGCCATGTCGGACAGCGACCCTGAAAAGAAGATTGCTCCGCTGGAGCCTGAGCTGCGTCACATGAAGATCGAGGATGGCCCGCCCCTTCCGGGCGTCGGTGATGGTGCGGTGAAAGTTGAGCACGTCGACGAAAACCCGCTCGCGCTCACCCCCTCTCCACCGCTCACCATACCCGCCCAACCCAAATCCGACTCAACCTCACAGTCGCCAACCAAATCTTCTCCCTCAACCACCTCCTCGCCTAGTGCAGAAGACCGCGAGGAGACCGTCGGCGGCGACATCACCTTGAAGATGGAGCCCGGGAAGGCGCCCAAGCTGTCCCGCACAGCCTCTAAGAAAATCATCTTCAAACCGCCTCCACTTTACCTTGACCTACCCGATGCCACCAAAGACGCGACAGATACATTCATCGTTCTCCCGGAATGCACTTATGGGAATAAGTCCCTGGGTACTACGGACCATGCGCTGGAGTGCGATTGTTCTGAGGAGTGGGGTGAGTCTGCCACGCGCCTTCCGAGGCCAACTCTCCCGGCCGCCACAGCTGACTTGATCGATAGACCCCGAGACGCACACCAACAATGCCTGCGGTGAGGATTCTGACTGCATCAATCGTGCGACCAAAATGGAGTGCGTGGGCGATTGCAGCTGCGGTCGCAAGTGCCAGAACCAGCGCTTCCAACGGAGGCAGTATGCCGACGTGGCAGTCATCAAAACCGAAAAGAAGGGCTTCGGTCTCCGCGCCAACACCGATCTGAGACCAGGCGATTTCATATTCGAGTACATTGGCGAAGTCATTGACGAGCGCACCTTTCGCCGGCGCATGATTCAGTATGATCAGGAAGGTATCAAGCACTTCTACTTCATGTCGCTCACCAAGGGCGAGTTTGTCGACGCGACAAAGAAAGGGAACCTCGGTCGCTTCTGCAACCACTCCTGCAACCCCAATTGCTATGTCGACAAGTGGGTGGTGGGGGACAAGCTGCGCATGGGCATTTTTGCCGAGCGGAAAATCAAAGCCGGCGAGGAGTTGGTCTTCAACTACAACGTCGACCGATACGGTGCCGACCCACAGCCCTGTTATTGTGGGGAACCCAACTGCACAGGCTTCATCGGAGGGAGAACACAGACCGACAATGCCACCAAGCTATCCCATGCGACCATTGAGGCCCTTGGAATTGATGACAGCTACAGCTGGGAGACGGCCGTGGCGAAGAAGCCGCGGAAGAAGAAGGCCACCGAGGACGATGAAGAATATGTCAATGATATCATGCCCAAGAGCTTGGAAGAGAGTGGTGTGAACAAGGTTATGGCTGCACTGCGGCAATGCACGGAAAAGTGGGTTGCGGTTAAGCTTCTGAGTCGACTACAGGGCAGCATAGACGATGAGAAGGTGGCGCATCGAGTCATCCGAGTCCACGGCTATGAGATTCTGAAGTCTACCATCACCGCCTGGAAAGATGATGTCAATGTCATCCTACAAGCGCTTGACATACTACATCGACTCCCTCGAATCACCCGAAACAAGATTCAAGATTCCAAGATCGAAGAGACGATAGAGAGCCTCAAGTCGTTCGAGGACGAGCGGGTACAGAGTGAAGCAGCGAGGTTGCTGGAGGCGTGGAGCAAACTGGAGGTGGCATACAGGATACCACGCATGAAGAGGGATCCGAATGCTGCAACTCCGCTTTGGGACGCTCACTTCGACCGTCGCGATAGGAAACGCGAACGATCACGCTCTCGGTCCAAGTCGCCGGTTCTTGCTGCTGCGCCCAAAGGCCCTGCAGCTTCGGGAGCGCCAACGGCTCCCCGTGCATTTGTTCGAAACGGCCCGTTTTTCAATGGCCCTCGACCCCCACGACCGCGGCCGCAGTTCAACGCCCTTCCTGCAGGCTGGTTTCAAGCAACGTCCGCTGATACTGGAGCCATCTATTATTACAACAGTTCTGGTGTCACGCAATGGACCAGGCCGACCTTGCCTGCTCAGGCACCTCCGCCTCCTCCCAAGGCGAAGACAAACGAGCAGAAACTGCAGGAGATCATATCTAGCATCACCCAGAACGTTTCGTCCAATGGCAACGGGTCAGCATCCGGTACACCGAAACCGGCTGACGAACAAAAGTCGGAGAAGCCGTCGAAGAGCGAAAAGTGGAAGAGCCTCCCACTAGAGAAGCAGCAAAAGCTGTATGAAGGAACTGTAAGTCCTCTTTGCTATAACAGTATGCGTTCGTACCTGACCTCTTGACAGCTACATCCGCACGTCATGTCGGTCGTCGCACATTATCGCAAGAAACTGGACAAGGAGGACCTCAAGAGGCTCTCTAAAGACGTATGTATGAACCCCATGTGTTCTTCCAATATCGCTAACGGTGTCGCAGGTCGCCCAGAAACTCGTCCGTGGTGACTACAAGCATGGCAAGGTGAAAGATCCAACAGCAAAGCTGGACCACAAGCACGAGAAGACGGTCAAGAAGTTCGTCAAGGACTACATGGACAAGGCGGTAGAGAAAAAGGCCATCCGAGACAAAGAGAGGGCCGCTAGGCACCAGAAGAAGTCGCAGGGAAAGCCTGAAGACAAGTCCTCCGGCCCGTCGGACACACCCAAGACACCGGTTACGAAGGAGAGCCCGGATGCCGATCAAGATGTTCCGGATGTCTCGTATGACGATGTCACAAAGTCTCCCAATGCGTCACCAGGCGGCTCCCCTTCGAGTGACCTGAAGCGAAAGCGGGAAGACGACGACGATGTCGGGTCGCCCAAGAAATCGCGAACGGATGACGACTCAGCGCCGCCACCTCCACCCCCACCGCCTCCAGCAAGTGACATGCCTATGGACGTGGATCACGATGAATCTACCTCGTTCGAGCATCTCCCTCAGGCGCCCGACCTTGGGGCCGCGGCAAGTCTAGAAGATCTTGGCTTGGAGGGCGTCAAGTCAGAAGGGACCACCAGTCCAATCCAACTTGCAACGCCTCCCACGACGACCAATGGATCTTGTAAGCATGAGAGCAACGACGATGCTGCGACAGAACAATCTGTCCGCGGTTCAAGAGAGGTCTCTGTAGAAGGCGGTGGGGCCTAACTACGACGTGAGCGTAAAGGAGGGATCGGTCGGCATATTCATATTCTTTCGTTTTGGAAAGCCGGTGTATACTTGCACTTCCATTCCACATTTGTCTAACAATAAAGCGTCCGTCTGGTCTTGCATTTCTCTTTTCTCTTGGCAGCAGTATCTGAATCTGCTGAATTGGAACTGGAGTTTGGGATTTCTAGGGTTATATCTCGGTGGCTGCAGACGTGGGCCAGACATTCAGGAACTCGGTCTATGCACTACCTTCTTGCATATATAATGCATTCGGGAATGAAAAGGTTTCAAGGTATTGGCAAGGGTGTCCTTTATCTGTATAGTAATCGATCTTGTGGCACGGATTGACATTATGTCCCTCCTTGAGTGCTGCTCTCCAAACTGTTGTGCGGGGAAGTATGAGTGGAGACGGGCGTCTACGGCGTGTACTGTGCTCAAGCTCAATGCGGCTAGTGACGGCTGCAACCCCGCCGAGGGAAGCTGTGATAGCCCAACGTCATTTGTCAATAGCAACTCACCTCACACCACTTAGAAAAGAGTTTAAAGCGTCGTATCCGCCCGCTTCTCAGTGGACTCAAGCCTTCCTCTCCTTTCTCACTCTTTCTCTCCGTTCTGCCTTTCTGACCCTCTCCAATGGCCTTCCGCCTCTGCGCTGCTCGCGGCGGTGCCGGCCGCGCCATTGCCAGGCATACAGTAGGAACGGCATGGCGACGACACTATGCTTCTGCAACACAGCCATATTTCCCCGACGAGCCGAAGGAGCCAATCGTGAAGACTGAGATTCCCGGGCCGGAAAGCAAAAGGGCAATCGAGAAGTTGAACAAGGTGTTTGATACGAGGGCGTTGAACATGATGGTGGATTACACCAAGAGCTTGGGGAACTAGTAAGTTTGGAGCTTTTTGATGAAGAACGAAGGTTCTTCTGGAGGAGGCAATGATAACTGACTGACGGACTTCCCAGTGTCGCGGATCCGGATGGCAATGTGCTGCTCGATGTGTATGCTCAGATTGCATCTATCCCCGTCGGGTACAACAATCCGGCACTGAGGAAAGCAGCGACGTCGCCTCAGATGGTTTCCGCAATCATCAATCGTCCTGCACTGGGTAACTTCCCTCAGCACGACTGGGCCGACATCCTCGAGACGGGCATTCTGAAGGTCGCTCCCAAGGGGCTCAACCAGGTCTTCACAGGCACAACTGGCTCCGATGCGAACGAACTCGCATACAAGGCGGCATTCATGTGGAAGCGTCAACAAGAGCGAGGTGGCCGCGACGTCGATTTTACCCAAGACGAGATCAACTCGTCCATGATCAACCAAGCCCCCGGCGCCCCGCCCCTCTCCATTCTCTCCTTCAGCTCGGCCTTCCACGGCCGCCTCTTCGGCTCCCTCTCCACCACCCGCTCCAAGCCCATCCACAAACTCGACATCCCCGCCTTCGACTGGCCGCGCGCCCCCTTCCCCCAGTGCAAGTACCCACTCGACCAGTACGCCTCGGAAAACGCGGCCGAGGAACAGCGCTGCCTAGCGGAAACGGAGCGCCTCATCAAGGAATGGCACCACCCGCCGGCCGCCGTCGTCGTCGAACCCATCCAATCCGAAGGCGGCGACAACCACGCCTCGCCCAACTTCTTCCGCGGCCTCCGCGAGCTGACCAAGAAACACAACATCCTCTTCATCGTCGACGAGGTGCAGACGGGCGTCGGCGCGACGGGCAAGTTCTGGGCGCACGAGCACTGGGGCCTCGAGACGCCGCCGGATATGGTGACGTTTTCCAAGAAGGCGCAGACGGCCGGGTACTACTACGGGAACACGGAACTCCGGCCGAATAAGCCGTACCGCCAGTTCAACACGTGGATGGGCGATCCGTCGCGCGCGATCCTGTTCCGCGCCATTATCCAGGAGATTGAGCGTTTGGACCTCGTGAGGAATACCGCCGAGACGGGCGCGTACCTGTACGACGGGCTGGCGAGGCTGGCGGAACGGTATCCGGATGAGATTCGGAATTTGAGGGGGAAGGGGCAGGGCACGTTTATTGCGTGGGATAGTCCGCGGAGGGACGAGGTGTTGAAGCGGGCGAAGGGCGAGGGGGTGAATATTGGCGGGAGTGGGGAGAGGGCGGTGCGGTTGAGGCCGATGCTGGTGTTTCAGAGGCATCATGCGGATTTGTTGCTGGAGCGGTTGGAGAGGATTTTCAAGTCGTAGGCGGAGGAGGAGTAAGACGTCGAACTGGATGGATCAGGGAAGGGATGGGGGGCAGAGGATTGTAAGAAGGGGTAGTGTCGTTCTCTGCTTTCGCCGCGCAGTGATAGTAATGCAGTTACTTTAGCGATTTCAAGTTTATTCGGGAAAGCGGCCGAGCTCTTCGGGGTGATGCGTGCCAGCATGAATCATGTAGAGATATCGATATCTCTCTTCATATCCCAAATAAATCACTCCCATCCGCCTCCCCATCCCCGACGCCAACACCAACAATCGTCCCGCCCACCCCTCGCACCCGCCACGCATACCTCACTCTTCCCCCTCCATTCCCATTCCCATTCCCATTCCCATTATTCTCCCCAGGAACCAAATCCTCCCCGCACCAACCCATCCACCCGGCCAACGCGGCCTGCATCGCCCCCGCATCCTGCCGCGGGATCCGCACCCAGACGTGCCGGCCTCGCGTGTGCAGTATGTCGAGCGGGATTGCGGAGCCCAGGAGGCCCAGGTGCGTGGTTAGTGGCGGGGTGAGGAGGGTGAGTGTTGTTAGGGGTGAGAGGGAGGGGGGGTGGTGGGATGGTTGGTGGGGAGGGGAGGTGGAGGTGGGGGGTTGGGGGAGGTCGGGCATGGCTGTGTCTGTGTCTGTGTCTGGGGTTTCTTGTTCGTGTCCTTGGGTTCGTTCACCCTCAGACTGGTCTCCTTGCTTGACGAGGTCGGAGGTACACCTACTCCGAACAGCGGCAGCCGTGCCCGGCGTCACGAGCTCGAGGTGCATATACGACCAGCGCGGGTGCCGGAACGTGGTGCTGTGGCATATGTGCGGTTTTTGCGCGAGGGTGGCTTTGCGTTTGCGCTTCTTGCTTGGTGCTGGTGGTTGTTCGGTGGAGAGATCGGAGGGCGCGGTCGTGCTTTCTGGGTTGGGATTGGGATTGGGATTGGGATTGGGAGGAGGAGCAGTGGAGGAGGGTTTTGAAGGTGTGATTGCGTTTGCGTTTGCTTTTGGTTTTGCGTTTGCTATTGAGGTCGTGGATGGAGGAGGTGGTGGTGCCATGGGTGAAGCGGGATGGGTCTCCCTGCTCTTGTGTTCTTTGCGTGTTTGTGAACCGCTGGTTAATAGAACTGGGGGGTATGCTATCCAAACGCCCGTGATGCCCCCTATCGGTGTCCAGTTGCAAAGTAGAGAGCGTGAAGCTCGGTGAGTGCTGCTCTCCAAAAGATTTCCGAAGCTTCAATAAGCGGTGGTCCGAGCTTCCGATCGACGCAAGGGTCAGGGCACGAGTCAACTGGTGGGGACCCCGGGGCAGATGTGATATTTCGGCCTAATACTAAACTCTCTTGGGACAAAATCCATTCCATAAGAAAGTCCCATCAATGCTCGAAAAACGCATATAGGAGAATAATTCCTGTAATTCATTACCCTCCTCTACAAAAAGTACACCACACACTTGGTGGCCTTTCGCTTGGAACATGAGTACCATCGATGTACATGCAGAGGGCCTATGCGCCCTAAAAGGAAAGGGGTATATGATATGCTCAGAAGAAAGGCCATTTGGACAAAAGAAATCCCGCCGGAAGAGTCGCCTTCATAACACCGTCTTCCATCCAAACAACCTTGAACGCCAAACCGAGGAGAAACCTCCACAAATCCAGACATCGCTTATGAGAGTCATAGACTCGTTGAACCTTTCGAACGCCAACACTCCGCTATATCACGACGGGGCGGGATCCCCTTCGCATAGTCGTTCACTCGGCCGTTGTCTCCGCCAAAGGATCAAAGTCGATGCCTTCCAGAGGCTGATCGCTGTTATCATTCAGCGCCCTAATGATTTGTTCGGATCTCGCCATGCGCGCTTCCACGAACGGGACACGCGTGCAGAAACCCTTCATATCGCTCGTTACTTCCTCCAGCTTGGTGAGCTGCTTCGCATGCTCCTCAACTCCACCGGAAAGCGCTGCGGTCTTGGCAGCTTGCTCCAAGAGTGCCTTATCTTGTTCCACGACTTTCGCTTCGAGCTTGTCGAGAGCTGATTTCCCAGCTGCCACATCGGTTTGAAGGACTGGCAACGTCGTAGTTTCCAGAACCTGCTGATAGGCCAGTACCTCGTTGAGTCTGTTGATGATGGTGGGGACATTATATTCCGACTGCATGAAATGCACCATCTGCTGGAATAACTCGTTGGTGGATATGTTATCCATTCTGTCCTGCAGGTGCTTCAGGGCCGTCTTTGTTGGAGCGAGAAGAGGTTCGGTTATGGACTGTTTGTTGTCGGATAGCCAAGCAACCACTGCCGTGCGGACTTGCTCGGTCATGAACTGCCGCTCCTCACTGAGGTTACGAGAAAGGTCTGCCTGGAATTTCCCAGACTGAGCCGTAATCTCTTTCTGGATGCGGCCCTGTAAGTCTGTACCGACCTCCTCACAAACTTGAGTGCGAAGTCCCTCACGTTGCTCCGCAAGAGCTTGGTGGAGAAGATTTGCCTGATTGGCGCGAACAATTTCGACGATTTTGGCCTGTAGTTCGGGCGACTGATACAGCCTGGACATGATGTTGTCCGCAACTTGTTCGCGAAACTGTGCTATCTCGGTTTCCGTCCGAAGTGATGGGCGGTTCTGCAGCTCTTTGATAGCCGATTCAAATGGCGCGCAGAGTTTGATGACAGAATCCAGGATATCGTGCCCATCATCGTCTTTGAGTCTGCTCACGTCTTGTTCAATCGCAGCCAATCTCTCATCAAGCTTCTCAACAACAGGCTTTAGTTCAGCAGTGTCGTTTTTGATAGGTTCGGGATTCCTCGGAGCGTTTTCGAGCTTGTCCAGTCTCCTTACTACCTTCTCCTGAGTGCTGGCCAATTCCTTAAGTTGTCGGCCGGTAGCACTCTTGATCTCGGTAGTTTCCATGCGCAAAGCCTCTAATGAGTCCCTGGTTTTGCCCTGGGCGTCTTGTAGGGATCTCATATCAGCTTTTAAATCTGCAACATCGTTTTTGACCGCATCGAATTTCTCGATCTTGATATGAGCACCGATTTCCTGCTTGAGAAGGGCGCCGTATTCCTTAAGGAGCGTATCTCGCTGCTCGGCCAAGGCTTGATGTTTTGTCTGAAGGGTTTGACAATCTTTCCTCAGATTGCCAACGTCAGACTTGAGGTCATTGAACCTTTTCTGGAGTTGATCTGTAGCTGCGGCGCCTGGCCCTTTCTGCTTCTGAGACATCTCCTCTTGCTGCTTGCGCCACGCATCTCTCTCCTTTCTCACTTGCTCGCGCCATTCATCCTTCTCCTTGCGCATTTCTTGGAGCCACGACTCTCGCTCCTTGCTGATTTGAGTTTCTCGCTTGTTGGAGTCTTCGACTTGCCGATTAACCATGTCAAGAAACTTCTTGATCTGGTCGTCCGTTGCTGACTTGTATCTCTCGTATTCCTCTCGCAGGCGAAGCAGATCTTCGACCTTCAGTCTCTCCTCTCGTGCGCGAAGCGCAGCTCTGTCCTTGTGCTCTCGGAGACGCGCTATTGGGTCTGACGAGGACTGCCCATCTCGGTCTTTTAGAAGCCTTGGTTGTAGTGCACCGCTCGCAGACGAGCCGTTAACTATACTTTTATTTGGTAGAGTCTCCTTTACTCCTCTTGTAGGTGGGGTTTCCGTAGTAGGTGTCCCAACCATTGATGGCACTTTCGGGGCACTTTGTGCTGCGTTCGGCTGCTGATTTCCGAAATAGCCATCGCCCAGTGTAGTCGGAGTAGCTTCCGGTCCAGGAGTACGAACAGCAACTCTCCCATTGCGACGGGGATCTCGACGGGGGTCCACACGCTCTGGTTCCGTTGCTGATCGTCCTCTCTGCTCTGCAGAATAGTTCCTCAACGCTCCGTCTTCAGGGCGAGGAGGTGGTCTCTGTTTATGAGGAGGACTGCTCCCTCGGGACGACGGTGCCTCCTTCCGCTTGGCAGGCCCTCTGGGCGCATCTGGTTGGGCTAACCGCTCGATACGGTCGGGGTGCATAGAGGAGGTCTTGGAAGTGTTGCTGTACAGCAAGTATGGTTAATCGGGAAAACCTGACGGCGGTAAAACAAACGAAACGGTTACACGTACGTATCGGTACGGGGTAGAGCAGCATTTCTGCCCCTCCCTTTCTCTTTGGCAGGTGTAGCAGTCAACGTAGAAGGTGGTACCCGTGGTCCAGACATACCACACGCCGTTTCAGGCGTAAACTTTCTCTGAGAGGCACAGTAGAGTTTACAACAGACCTTGCGTTCGTGGTCGCGTCGTTTATGTACGGGCGCTCGGACCAAGGCGCTAAAACTATGGGAAGTCGTCACTGGCTCGTGTCACGCGTGGCGAGCGCAGGAGCCATTTAGGTGTCAGAACTTCCTACGCGCCAAGCAAGAGCTTCGTGCAATGGAAGAAGGTTAATCCGACGCTTGACATCTTTCAGTCAAGCAGCATCAACAACGTACTAACGCTGACGCTCTTGAGGATATCTGACGTGGGTCACGCTGTTCAAAATGGCTGTGGTATGTGAAACGCTCAGAGGTGAACAGTTCATTTGCTAATCATGTAGCCAATCACTACCGTTGCGGAGAGCAAGGAGCTCCGAGGGCTCAACCTCATTGCGGCACATTCTCACATTCGCGGCCTTGGCGTCGAACCAGATACACTTGAACCGAAACCCGCTTCGCAAGGACTAGTTGGCCAGGAGAAAGCGCGAAAGGCTGCGGCGGTGATCCTTCAGATGGCGAAGGAGGGCAAGATCGCAGGTCGTGCAGTCCTGATTGCTGGCCCACCAAGCACAGGCAAGACCGCCATTGCTATGGGTATGGCACAATCGCTAGGCTCAGACGTTCCTTTCACAATGCTCTCGTCATCCGAGATATTCTCACTCGAGTTGTCCAAGACGGAGGCCCTCACACAAGCGTTTCGCAAGTCCATCGGCGTGCGGATTACGGAGGAAAGCGAAGTAATAGAAGGCGAGGTGGTGGAAATTCAGATAGATCGCAGTGTGACGGGGGTAAGCATACAACGAAGACTTTGGAGCATAACGAGATGCTGAGCCACGTCGCAGAGCAACAAACAAGGCAAACTTACCATAAAGACCACCGACATGGAGACGATCTACGACATGGGTACCAAGATGATCGACTCGATGACGAAGGAGAAGGTGTTAGCTGGCGATATTATCTCTATCGACAAAGCTTCAGGGAAGATTACCAAGCTCGGACGATCATTTACGAGGGCGAGGGATTACGATGCGATGGGCATAGATACGAAATTCGTGCAATGTCCCGAAGGAGAGCTACAACAGCGGCGCGAGGTTGTCCATACCGTCAGTTTACACGAAATCGACGTAATCAACTCCCGTACGCAAGGCTTCCTGGCACTCTTCTCCGGCGACACAGGAGAAATCCGAAGCGAGGTACGGGACCAGATCAACACGAAAGTGGCTGAATGGAAGGAGGAAGGGAAGGCGGAGGTCGTGCCTGGAGTTCTCTTCATTGACGAGGTGCACATGCTCGACATGGAGTGTTTCTCTTTCATCAATCGCGCTCTGGAGGACGAACTCGCACCCATTGTTATCATGGCAAGCAATCGAGGCAATACGCAGATACGAGGAACGAACTACCGGTCACCGCACGGTCTGCCACTGGACTTCCTCGACCGGGTCGTCATTGTTAGCACGCACCCCTATTCGGAGGAGGAGATGCAGCAGATTCTCTCGATAAGGGCACAAGAAGAGGAAGTGGACATGTCTCCCGATGCGCTAGCTCTTCTGACTCGAATCGGGCGGGAAACGGGTCTGCGATATGCTAGTAATCTGATCACCACATCTGATCTGCTACGAGCGCAAAGAAACGGACCCAACGTGAGCGTCGAAGACATACAACGCAGCTTTGCGCTTTTCTTCGATCCCACGAGAAGCGTAAAGGTAAGTTTTCGAACCCTCCTAGAAGATTAAGCGTGTGCTTACCCTGTGCAGTTCGTGACAGAGTCCGAGAAGAGACTCATTGGCGACGCAGGGGAGGTTTCGTTTGCTGTTAATGGCACTGAGGCAATGGATGTATCGGCGTAGGGCTCTGGATGTCGTATCCTCCGATAGAATTGGTGATATCCCGCATTGTAAGGGTAGAAGTGCTTTGAGGGGTGGCGTTGGGTGTACTTGGATCTACTTAGCGGTGGAGCGACTTTTGGAGACTCTTCGGTTCCGCGGTCTAAAAGTTGCAGTCGCAAGATTAAAACATGCAAATCGTTTTGGAGGAACGGCCGTAATAGTATTTGACAACTATTAAGTTTACCCCAGATTGCTGACCCCGATCTGGAAGACTGAACCAGCCCTGGAGTGGCGCAGGGATGATCACGTGCTATCGATCGGACAGGGATTACAAATCCACCGATGAGGCGTTCGGTGGAAGCCTTCAGAAATCCAACCTCACGTCATGAGAGAGTATTTCATCAGGGCCAGATTGGCTGAGGTCGACTTTGATTCCTTCACTAACCTCATACCAAGCTCTATTCGACATTAACTGTCCTGCTACAGAAGTTCCGCGAAATGACTACGGAGAACAGCCCCCAGAATGACGTAGCGATGCACGAAGCAACAGAAGCAACATCCAGCGATATCCAGCTAACACTCACCCATCACGGAAAGCCAGTAACACTGTCATTACACCGAGATGCCACCCTGCAAGATCTCTCAGACAAAGTAGCTACCGAGCTCTCAATACCACCTCCGAATCAAAAGTTCCTCATCGCGAAACTCGGCCTCCAGAAGCCGCCGTTCAAGGATGCGACCATACCCGTCTCCTCACTCGCCTCAAAGAAGATCACGCTTCTCGGAAGTACCACTGAGGAGGTCTCCTCCTTGAGCGCCAGTATATCCGCCGCCGTAGCACCTCGCAGAACAGGTCCCGTGAAAGCCGCCACTCCAGCTCGAACGCGGGACTGGAAGAAGGTGCAAGACGAGGCGCAATATACATTCCACACTCTCCGTCCGCTACCATACCTCCCGAATCCTGAGCGATCGCTCCGCTTCCTCGAACGGCTTCGCGATGACCCCGGAATCAAGGCCGCGATGCGGAAGCACAAGTTCAGCGTTCCTCTGTTGACGGAGATGGATCCGGCGATGCATACAACGCATGAGTCACGAACTCTTGGATTAAATAGGAACAAGGGGGAAGTTATCGAGCTGCGGTTAAGAACCGATGCATATGACGGGTATCGGAACTACAAGACGATACGAAAGACGCTGTGTCACGAGTTAGCGCATAATGTCTGGGGTCCGCATGACCGCAACTTTTGGAATCTGTGTACGCAGATTGAAAAGGAGGTTATGAGAGATGATTGGACAGCTGGAGGGCGGAGCGTTGGGAACGAAGAGTATGCCCCAGGCCCAGAGGAAGATGTGTATGATCATGGGGGCTGGACGGGAGGGGAGTTTGTCTTGGGTGGTGGCGGGAGTGATGCGGGTGTCATTAGTAGTGCTGGAGGTGCGGTCTCCGCTGGGAACCTGAGCAGGCGCGACATACTAGCTCGAGCCGCAGAAGAACGCATGCGAAGGTCGAAACGGGCGAAAGAGGCTGAGGAGCGGGAGCACAGGACTGCCTCATAGGGTGTCCGTCCCCGCATTTGGCATTCTTTGTTCGACGACTTCCCAGCACAGGTATACACCGTCATTGGCTTGACGACCATGTTCATTGTCTGTTTCTTTCATGTTTCGCATAGAGCATAGCCAGTACCCTAGAGCACGTCAGAGTAATTCACAACTTCCGGACCCCCAGATTGCAAATCTATGCGCTCACTGTAAGGTTCTGTTTGACAGCCGCGCATATGGCCCTCCTTACACTGCTTATAACTTGAACCAGCAGCACAACCGCTCCGCCCATACAACTATGGCCTCAGCGCCACCCCCGACCTCACTCTTCGAACCTTGCAGAAGCCTTAACCCAGTGGCTCCTTTCTCCTAAGGACTCCTCTTCTTTCCCATCGTGCCTGAACCCCTATGTCCCCTTCTGCTCCCACCTCCTAACCCACCATCTACCCGCGTTCCTCGCACGCGCCACATTTCACCACCTATGGCAACTGCAATCATCCCACTCATCCAAAACCCAGCTCGCCGTCTTCCATGTCTTGCGTATCTTAGAGTCCCACCCTGAGTACGAAGCGTTATGGACGCAACCGACGCGATTGTGGGAGCGCATCGTGGAGGCCGAAGTGGAGATGCTGGTTGAGCGGCATTTGGTTCTGAGGAAGGAGGGTGAGACCGTTATGAAGGGCTTGAAGAGGGGATGGTATAAGCGGAATTTGAGAAAGAGGGGGATTCGGTGCGAGTTTTCGATGGAGGGCGGCGAGAGGGATTGTTATGATAGGGGTAAGGTGGAGGGTGAGGTAGAGAAGGTGAGGACTGATGTGGTGAGGACCAGGGATGCTGGGATTGGGACTGATGGGTTTGAGGAAGAGCGGAGGAGACGGTGGTATGGAGCAGGCGGGAATGATTTGGCTTCACGAGGAGAAAGCGGTTGATGACTGGGAAGGTTCACCGGTAGGTGTCAGCAGATTTCCGGACTTTACCAAATATTTAGTTGGAGGGACAGGAGTCGCGCCAGGTCTTGCTGATAACCCAAGAGCCGCCGAACGTTGGAATCAATGTTGAGAAAGACAAGCCTGAGAAGGAAAGCTACGTAAGACGCGTAGGCGGAGGGATAGCCCGCCATGGCCTGAAGAATACGATGAGACTATGACTGCCTTCCCGTCAGGGGACGAGCTGGCTGGCGCTGACCATGTACTACGCATACCATACCAATATGTGGTCTCCCCGTCTTCGTCGGCATCCGGTGATGGCGGCGAGGAAAACTCTGGCAGCTCTGCGGATGTCTTGACGTTTTCTGAGTCGAATCCTGCACGTTTGAAAGTTCCCGGAGGCTATCCAAAGCACGCGGAGGAGGAGCCCAGACAATACAACCTAAGATCACGCAGATGAGGCGGCGATTTCGGACGATATAGCAAAGCGTTGGTCTATTGAAGCCTTTGAAGACGGCGTGGATTCCGGTGACGGTGGTTACACGCCGATGTTTTCGAATAACCACAACGATGTATATGCAGACGATGACGCTTCCGCTTCCCCTCCCAATGCTTAGGGCGATAGTGAACATTATACGGGCGGTAGAGATTCAGAAAAGATTATGTTCCCCGTCAAGGCCGGCTACGGTTTTCAGTTGGAGAACAAGTTCTAAGTATAGTCACTGAACACACAGAACCTGAGACGTATATGTGGGTTGATGTCGCTGGTCGGCCAGACTGACAATGTGTCAAATGCTATGGAGAGGCTGCATATGAGACCTTGGGGGAGAGTAGAAGATATTGCCGGTGTGCTCACTCTGGTTTCGACCGGGAATCGGCGGGATGTGTGAGGTGTTTGTATTGCCTCGCGATGGGCGGTCCGCTCCCAGGACTCTTGAGATACCACAGAAGCAGACCACATGGTTAGATTATCGCAGTAATGAGACCGTAGGACGGCACCTCTATATTGGGCCATTGTGCATACGGTTTCCCTCAATTGAAGGTCATGGCGATTATTTTGCCCATTCTATTCTAAGTGCTCAGTATCGCCGAGACCTATCAACCCAATGACAGTACATTCACAGCCATTAGAACAGTTTTATGGAACTTTTCCGATTAAACAAGTCCCGTAGACGTCTGTATGCCGCTGATACTGATATTCCGCTGCCAATCTCCGCGGTGTCACCTCGTGGGGAGCAAATTTGACACTTCGGTCTTTCACTACCGCTCCACAATAACAACAGAAACAAACAATAGTGAAAGCCCACAACTCGCGTGCCCTTCCCAAAACATTGGGCTGCCGTCATAGCAACGCTTACGTACACAAATTTCCACCTTGCCTCCCTGCCCGTTATATTCTTCGTTCGCCCACCAAACTTTTCTCTCCTCAACCAGCCGCTCGCGACGCAACCGTGACAACTCACAACCACCGCGATCGACCCAACCACACACTGTGACTTAACACCGCTTCCAAACCCACTTCTTACACTCATATATACCTCTTTCTTCAATCCTTCCAACCTCACTCCTCATGCCTGACAGGATTCGTCGTGCGGCTGCCGGCACGCGCCGTCTCCCAACTGTGAGGGGCGTCCCACAAACACTGCTTGGTGCAGCTATGCGTAGCGGATTCAGCACGACTCCGCTCACAAGGACTGCCACCAAAACGATCACCAAGACTGCCACCAGCACCCCGCTTGCTACCTCGACGAAGACTGTCGTGGGTGCTGCAAAGGCTACCGTCACCAAGACCGTGACAAAGACAGTCGCTGGAGTCGCGCGTGCCACCGGGTCCTTCAACTCTGCTGTTCCCAACCCATTCTCCTTTGGATCCCGACTTCCACCCGCCATTGGCAATACCATTTCAGCCATCGGTGGACCTCTGCGTAGTGTTGGTTCCTACCTCTACAATATTGTCGAATCCATCACCCGCCGTCTCCCAGCCGACTACCAGCTGCCGTCCGAGTACTGGGTGGTCGTGATTAGGGCAGGTTTCCTCGGAGCCTACCTCTCGGGATCCGTCACCACTCTCCTGAGGAATCGCCGACTGCCCCCTCTACCCGCTGGGGTAAGCGCAGAAGAAGTCGAGGCAGAGGCCCAGTTCATGGTGGACGCTTTGAGAGAGATGGCCGCGGACGACGCCACTCTTCGGGCTCACTTGAGGAGGGCTAATCAGAATGCCTTGAATTCGCAGAGGAGAGCAAGGAAGAACCAGGTCCGGAGGGCGAACTCGAGGGGAGCGGAAGAGCGCTCAGACGAGCCTTCCGCTGGGCCTTCTGCTGGGCCTTCTGCTGGGCCTCCTAACCAGAACTACATCGACCGGGTTGTTGGCGAGGTCTCGCAGGGTGTTAATCCGACTTTCGTGCCAAACGATACTTCCAACGGTACTCCGATCGTGCAAGCCGTGCAAGCCGTGCAAGCTGAGAGCAGCCGTAAGAGGCAGTTCGCTGATGTCGAGGAGGATCATGAGCGCCTCCGAACTTTCCGCCTGAAGAAGGCCCGTCTTTCCCCCACGAACAAGCGGAAGAGGACGGATAACCAAGATCGTGACCACGTTGAGGGTTCTACCCATGCGCGCAAGAAGATTCGGCCCAATCCGGTGTCAGCGAAGGGCAAGGGCAAGGCTGTTGTCGACCGGGGTGACAATGTTGAAGAAACTGTTGGGCATCCGAAGGGGGTGGGCCAAAGTACCTCGACCACCTTTGCTTCCAGTACTGGCGACGGGAACGGCCTTTCGTACATGAAGGACCGTCAGATTGATACGCGATTCGTGGCGTCCATGACCGCCCCCTACAATCCGGAGTACTCATCCGAGGCGGAGTCCCAATACGAAAGCGCATCTTCCCGTCCGCAGCCAGAAAGCCCCTTGAGAAGGGATGAAGAGGACGACCAGAACGCCCCTGAGCGGGAGGAAGTTGAACAGGAGGAAGCGGAGCAGGAGAAGGATGGAGAGACCATTGAGACCCAGGGCGCTGTGGGCGCTGTTGGAACGGGAGTTGAGCCTGGGGTTGGTCTGGGAGCGTCAGTGCAAGAGGAGCATGAGACAGAGGCAGCAGTTGGTCAGGAGGACCTTGGGCGACAAGCGGAGGGAAAGACTGATCTGGGACATCATCAAGGGGAGAAGGATGCCAGACAGACCGCGGAGATGAAAAAGAAATGCCTCCTGGTTGACAGTAATCGCCTTCAAACGGTGGGCAACACCGACAGTCTCCCCACCGACGATGATACACCCACCCAGCGCCGCAAGACCTTGCTTTCCCAGTTCAAATACCGTTTCGGCTTAGCTCCTGCTCGGACGCCCGACGCCCGCAAGATACCAGTGAAAGAGGACGCTGTCCCGCCGACCGCAGTTGGGGCCCGCCCGAACACCAAGCTGGATCTGTCAAGCATACCCTATCTGGAGGCAACATCCGGCGTCAGGTCGCCGACGAAGGCGCCCTACACCTCCCGGCCTGAACAGTCCGTGACCAACACTCAGCCCTCCACGTTCGCAACCCCGGCTCCGCGTACCACTGTCCCCAACCCCCATGAGCTGCAAGAGGCTGCTGATACCCAGGCTTCGCTCAGCAACGTACGCCGGACCCGTGGAAGCAAGAACGCCAATGCTGCTTCCGCCACTCCCAGGCGAAGCACCAGGAATGTCCGCCAGACCCATCCGAATCTCAATGTCCACGAGATGAGCAAGGCTTCCATGAGCCCTTCAAAACGGCCCTCTAATCCGAGGTAATCCGATCCACCTTTTCAGGAGCCATTTCCGGGCATGGATGCCATGGCTACCTAAGAGTGTCCCGGAGATGATGCACATTGGATGCTCACTCCATCGCAGTAGGGCGCTCATATTCTCGGAGGCGGAACCAGTTTCACGATATCATCAGCACACTTTTCTCTCGCTCCTATGACACAAGCGAATCACCATCCTCATCACTCTCTTTCCCAATTCCATGATACCCTCTCAGAATAACGACCTGGCCCCCGGTATATTGAATGCCGGATGGAGCACGATGCTGCCACATTGGATGGTGAGCACAAAAAGAATGACTCGCCCTCGGTACATTGGATACCGGATGGAGCGACGATGCCGTCACATTGGATGACGAACACGATAACAGAGATCTCACCTGTGGTACACTGGATACGGCAGGGAGCGACGATGCTGCCATACTGGATGGCGAGCACGAGAACAAAGACTCACCCGCGGTACACTGGATGCCAAAGGGAGCGACGATGCCGCCACACTGGATGGCGAGCACACCCTCAGTGACCCTGGAGACGAAAATACCTCCTGTGATACATTGGATATCGGCAGGATGATGATGGAAATCAGAGAACGGTCAAACACGGACTCACTACACTTGCAGTACATTGGATACTGGCAGGGAATTCATGGCACAGCCACATGAGTATGATAGCCGACGTTGATAAGGGTTTGACAAGGGTTTGGTTTTAAATGCGGGGCCGTGGGGACGGGAATGCTTGGGATTACGGGATGGAGAGTGGAGGATGTGGTGGTCTTTGTCTTTTGCTTTCTGCTTCTTGCTTTCTACTCTTCCTTTGCTTTCCACTCTTGCTTTGCTTTCCGCTCTTGCTTTGCTTTCCACTCTTGCTTTGCTTTCCACTCTTGCTTTGCTTTCCACTCTTGCTTTGTTTTCCACTCTTGCTTTGCTTTCCACTCTTGCTTCTGCTCTCGACCGGCTGCGTGTATCCATACACGATTAAAAGTATTTGCTTTGCTTGCGGACTGCTTTAAATGCTCTTCTGCATGGGAAGGTATCGACAGTGTACTATATCTCGGTATCCGAAAACAATTTGGTTCTCTCCTGGCTCGTGGTCTTTGCAACTGAGTGACTGTGAGTCATATACAGAATAGCGGGAGTGTAACGCCTCCTCGTTCTGATTCAATTGTCGAGCTACGATAAAAATCTATCGATACAGAAGACAGACAAACTTGAACGTAAACCCGGGATGAAGATTGTCCCACGCGGTCAGCACAGTACATACATCATGAGCAGAATGAGGCGGAACACGCCGTCCAATATTCCAAGACGAGCGCAATATCTGTCGGCACAGGCCTAGTTCGGGCCACCATCCGGAGAAGCAACTGACGGAGTTGCCCCATTCTGAGTTGGAGTTGCGTCATTTTGAATCAAACCTGGATGTCTGTGGACCGAACTGACTCGTTGTTCCATATGCTCCAGCAGCCCATCAAGAACACCTCGTCTCGTCGGCGCCATAAAAATGGGGCTCAAAGAAGACGTTTCCCAGGGTTGGTTTGGATCCTGTTGGGTCGTAGCTGGTGTCGCTCATATAGACATGACATGCGCCACGTACCGGACAGAATCTAGAGTATCTACTGCAGAAAGGATACAGTATATGTCTTGCTCGTCAGTGGCTAGATTGAGGATGTGCGCGGCTCATTCGATGAGTTTGATTGTGTGGAATTCTTCTGAGCGAGAGGCCATGGATGAGCAGTAATGGATCTGAAAAGGATCCAGGTAAGACTGGATCGGACAGTGTTGAAGAATTATCTAGAAATCTGTTGTTGCTCTCTTGCAAGGGTATTTATATGCTCCTGTGTTGATTGTGCTTTGGCTGGACACGCGCTCCAGAAGCAAAGCGTCCGAGACACCCAATCAAAAGTCCCGTCGAATGACAAGGTACAAGCCGATTATACTCCTTTCAAGTGACCAAGTCGCCACGCTTCCTCTCGCGCAACACATGTATTGCCAAGTCACATGCCGTGGACCAGTTCCAACCCCTTCGGAAGGGAGTTGTACCTTCCACATCACGAAATGCAAGATCTCAATAGTTGCTTTGTTTGCACAGAAATTCCTTTCAAGGAAGTTGGCAGAATAGAAAGTACCGTTGTACTTGGCCACGATCCCGAATGATAGACACGGTTCTAGTACTTGGGAGTTCAAGTGCGAAGACTACAGTTACCACAGAATGAGACTCTCCTCAAGAGGCTGAGATCAATCTCAGTCTGCCTATGACCGCTCCAAGGATCTTGAGTATTGAATGTATCACGGCGCTAGCGCCAGTAGGAGGAAATAATTGCAGAAATTATTCAAAGGTAGTATAACCTTAAACTTTGGAGACAGTAACGGTATCAATTAGGCTACTCCGTTGCCTCCAGGTACCATCATGTACATTCTCTCCCATTTCGCGTGGGCAATCACCGTTATGAGAAACCAAATACAGCAGACTTCACAATTGAAACATCGATTCTCGAGAATGCTTAGTATTTCGTTCACCTCCGTTTTTCATGTAACAAGGCCACAAGTTTTCCAACTGAACGCATAATTTTGCAGCCCTGAGACCGATTCACAGATCACCCTGACCATCCTCCCCAGGCGAACGCCAAAACTCACTCATCTTCTCAAAAGCCGCACACTCCAACTGCCTAAGAATCTCCACCAAACACAGCTACCTCCAGGGCCGTACCTCAACTCCAAACGGCGCAAACGTATCCGGAAGCAGGGGAGGTAGCTCTGGATTAGGATTGGGATACTCATTATGATAGAGGTAGGCACTCCACTGCCCCTTTTCCGCGTCGTAGGTGATTGTCAAACGCACTTTTTCCTCTGTTATGTGCCATTCCGCTGCGGCGGCGGTTTTGATGAATTTCAGGGTGATGTATTCGGTCAGAGTGCCTAGGTATGTTGCCATGTCGTCTGTGAGAGAGGATAGTGTGAAGTCCATGCTTGGTTTCTGATGAACACGTGGAAGGAGCAAATGTTAACGGTCTTTTTTCCGATAGCGATGTGTTCGTGGAGGAAGTGTCATGTTTTTATATCCCTATAGTGTGATAACCTCTATGACAATGATCCGCTGAACGGAACGAGCACAGGTTGGAAACCCCAAAAGTACCGTTTGGGATCCCACCATAGTCACACATACTTGCTTGTGGTTTTCACGTTGCATAAGTCGGCAAGTAAGAAGTCGGGCATTTGCGAGCGGAACACTTGGTCAACTTCCCCGTAGGGTGGCAGATGATAGGCTCATGGCTGAGGACAGCCAAACGGGAATACTTGACGATTCCCAAGCGGGCCAATGTAAAATGTATCTACTCATGTTGCAAGTCCAGAGTCACTGGCGTCTCAGCATGTACCTGACTGGTCAAGAGCTCGATTTCTCCTCTTGTCATGGAGGTTGACGTGGATGAAAGGTGGTACACCGTGTTGCCAGTTTCCACACACAGACAGTAGTCACGTACCCCTTCCCTCTGTCTCTTAATTTCATTGACTTTCATCACGGATGACTCCGTCACCATTGTCAGAAGCTCATGCCATATGATGTAGCAGTTGGCTTAGAGCAAACGACGGTTTCTGCATTTAAGCAGATTTTGTCCCTGCTCCGCTGGATGCTTTATCCACAGCGATGAATCCAGCCTCGATCGCATTCCCACGAAGAACGCCATGAGCGAATCCAAGATCGAATTCATAACTCCCCAAGAGCAGAACCTCATCCAAGAAATCGAGCGCCTTAGCCGCATCCTCTGGCCACAATACAAAGATCACTTCGTTTGCCTATACGCCCACGATGACGGCTTCGCAGAGCGTCCACGAGATTCAAAACTCGACAAGCACTTCAGCTGGTTTGCCGTTGTCATCTACCGAACGATGTCACCCTGTACGACTGGGTTGGAAATCGAGGATATACAATTGAGCAGCATAGTGCCGGCAGCTTCGAGGTTGAGGGCGCTTGGTGGGCTGTTGGAGCATTTGGAGACGGCGGCGCTTTCGATTATGGAAAGTGTTGCCAATTGCGAGAGGGTACCAGGTAATGTTTAGGGATGGATTCATGAACTAACGGCCTCGGCCAATCAACCGTACATATATGGTTTCTGTTCAAGTACACACATGCTCCAATGACTCCAACGTGTGCATTCTTGAAAACATCTCATGATTCATACGATCCCTTACCCGTAAGACGCCAAGTAGGATCTTGAATATACTGTTGCAACCATGTTGAATATAAAGCCTTGCTGAACAGGTGTTAATAATTCAAATACATGTCCAATTGCTGTTGAGAGTAAACAAGTGAAATAAAAGGCTGCGTAATCGTTTCTACTATATGTTCTTTTCTAACTGCAACGTGCATAAGTGTTTCTTTCTACATGTTTTAACGTACCTCACGGGCGAGCCGTCCACACGGGCGAGCCGTCCACTATGCCAAGATCCCACCAAATTGTACTGTCAACTACGGTATATTCGTGATGCCTCAACAACACAATAATCTACCTTCTTCAAAAGAAGCTCATGTACAGCTTGCGATCCAGGCTATTAAGCAAGATGCGAATATCTCTGAACGGCACGCTGCACAGATCTACAACATCTCTCGAACAACACTACGAGACCGACACGCTGGAGCGATCTTTCGATGTGACTGCATACCCAACTCAATGAAGCTACTAAAGACGGAAGAAGAGGTGATTGTTCGGCATATCCTTGATCTTGACACGCGAGGATTTCCTCCCCAGCTTGCTGCTGTCAAAGATATGGCTGATTCCTTGCTGGCTGCACGGCACTGAGATCCAGTCGGCCAGAACTGGGCTACAACCTTTGTCAAACGTCAGCCAGAGCTTACAATTAAGTTCAATCGAAAGTATGATTACAAGAGAGCTCTCTGTGAGGATCCTAAGGTTATACAAGACTGGTTCCAGCTTGT